TATTCCATCTCTTCATTCTTATTTTTGATTTCCATTTTCTGTGCTGTAAAATATTCCAAATCGATATCATATCGCCATCATTATTGGTGCTTTTTAAAGATTAATCTCATTAAATTTTAGATTATTAAAATCTGTACTATTCTTAAACTGACTAATTTTTGCTAATACAATTAAATGAAATCATAATGAGCATTTATGTCTTATATCATATCTTAAGTATAATGAGATTGTAGTTTACAAGGAATATTAGTTGGATTTAAGTATGAAATCTTACAAAATTTACTTTCAGTTTATTAAACCATAAAAATTACATATAAATTATTTGAATTATTGTAATTATTAAAATGTATATACTTGTATGTTTACTTCTAATTCGGATTTTTACTTACTTGGACTAGTACATGTGTACATGTAACTAATATTTGCATATAGAGTATGTGCGTATTTTTTCTTGTAAATGTAAATGTATTGACTCGTTGGACGTATCGTTGAAAAGTGTCACATGGCCTTCTTATGCCAAACATTCTTCACTAGTGACCGATGAGTATGTATGTTGTATGTGTATATGTGTGTGTGCGTTTATTTGTATAACTAGGATGCTTCTTCACTCTGATGCTTTCCTTCCTTCATAGCCATGTGTTTTAGTGATTTTTTTCTATTCATCTAAGATTTTTTTAGTATTTCAATCTCATACTTTGACTTTGATATAAATGTTCATTGCCTAATATATTTATGAATATGACTAAGTATGAAACTTAATTAATTTTTTACCCGATAATTTTGCACTTAAAAAAAAAATTTTTTTTCAGCAAATCAGGGTATGGTAGGATCACGCAAAGGTCAGATATTAGAAGAACAAGAAAATGCAGCCGCAGTACCTTCTTGGCAACGAGCAAGTAGTGTACCTGCTCATAAAAGACCACTTGTTTCAGCAAAAGGATCTAGTAAGTATACGTCGAATTTAAGCTTGATAATCAAAATATATGATATTATGGTATATTAGATTTTTGTCATCTTTATTGTATTGAAAACTTACCGTCAATCATGCATATTTTATGAATTAATGGGTATTGTAATTCATGGTAGCGTGAGCTATGCAATTTTTTATACGAATTATTATTATCATAAATTTCAGGCACTGCAGGTTCAGTAAGTGAAGAAGCTTTTCAACTGGCATTTACTGATGTAATGAAATGCAATGTATGATTACTATTCTTTACTTCATAATTTGATATAAACTTTAACTCTTATAATTTTTCCGTTTTCATGTTGTCCTGAGTGAAATTGTTGGTTTAGGTTTCTAAATTACTTTTGTTATAAGATTGAAATTATGTACATAAAAAATATAGGTGTTCTCTATCAAGCAACTGAAGGAACAAATCATGGAGGCAAGTACAACTCTAGAAGATACTGATTTAGACTGGAGTCGCCGTATGAACGCGGTGAGTGTGAAATAAAGGACTGTATTTAATTTGCAACAATGTGACAATTTTTTAATAGGGTTTTTCTTTAGTCTGATTTATTTTTATGGGATAATATTTTTTATCAGTTTTTTATGCTTGTTTAAACAATTGAATAGTCTCGTAATAGCTTTAAAATCATTTTTACGGTTTTGTTAAATTGCAGCTGAAAACATTGCGAGCAGTGATTATTGGTGGTGGTTTAGATTATTCTGATTTTTCGGAGGAAGTACGTGAAATACAGAAGGCTTTGCTAGTATCTGTTAAGGATTTGCGATCTCAATTATGTCGAGAAGCATGTGTTACTGTAGCGTATGTTATTTTAGCAAAGTTTATGCAAGAATCTAAAACGAAAGTCAACTAATTTCCATCTTTTTTAGTCTTGTTCTCATTTGGGATCGCTTTCATCTTGCATGCTGTCATAATGCTATCCTTAACTTTCGAACTAAAATCATTAAATTTATTTCAATGACAGTTTTGTGGATAGTCTTTATTGCTTCTAATAAATATATGCAATCCAAACTTTGTACATTTTTTTTCAGTTTTTACTGCGAAAGATTAGGACTTACTATGGTTCCAGTAATAAATACATTAATGCCAACTCTTATTGGATTAATGCAAAATAGTGCTAAAGTAATATCTTTTATTGATTAATTTAATAAATTTATGATCTTTAAATTATGGCTATCTTTGTTCGTTTGTTTAAGGTAATGGCTACTAGTGCACAGCTTGCTTTACAGTACGTTGTTAAATATGTATGTAGCCCCAAATTACTCCCTCATTTACAAACTGCAATGTCTTCAAAATCCAAGGAAATCAGAAGGTATAAACAGTTTTTAAAAGTTCGGACTATAATCTTATAATCTGCTTTTTTCTCTTTTTCTCTTTCAGAGTTAGAAATATTTTTATTTTAGGAATACAGCATCACTAATTTTGATGGCACTAACTGTTTGGGATGGCAGGATCGTCGAAAAGAATATCAATATCTTCTTAGATTGCATCAAAGTAAAATTATAATTTTTCTGACATAGTGATTTAAATCAGTTATATGACGTGCTTACATTTTTTTTTCAGGCTAGTATAAATGATGCAGATCCCGAAACGCGCGGCATAGGTCGGGAACTTTTTATGCAGTTGGACCAAGAATATAAGAAATATGCAGATATGTTGTACAAAGTAGCATTTTCAATACTTATTTCTTGATCTTTCATTAAATGCATAGGGAGCAAGATAATTAACAAATTTTTTGATGATGCATTTTATAGACTTTTTATTAAAATCTCAATTCCTTAAGAAATCATTTAAATGTGCAAATCAAAAAATCAGGATTAATGTAAAGTTTTTTATTTCTTATAGACTCTAGATCCATCAAGGCAGCGGACATTAGCTGGTTTCGTATCCCAGTCTTCATCGTCGCAGTCGATCATTTCTGAACGAGATGCTTTACCGATTGCTCAAAGAAATTCGTCTTATGTCTTTCAGAAAGGTAGTGTTATATTATATTTTACTTTATTTTTATAATATTAAATGTTTTTCTCATTATTATACTTTGTGGTTTTAAAATTTGTGGCTTCAAATGAATGTTTGATGATAAATTTTTTGCTTAATACTAATCTATCTTCTGATTTTCTAAGTCTGTGTAGTTTATTTACCAAAAGTTTCTCCGTATATGCATCCAGCAAGCCCGCTGTACTATGCGGGACGCTCGACGTCTGATATTGATCCTGGAGCAGTAAGACGTGTTACGAATCGTGCTGTGCGAACGAGTTCTAAGTGGGGTGGTCCCCTTCATCAAGTTAATGGCAGTCCATCAAGTATGTACTAAGATTTTGCGCTATTACATGTTTAGTCATTATTGGTATTCTCACTTACATGTAATTGTATGTACTTATGACAGCAAAGATATTTTCTAATTTTGTAAATTGAATTTTTCATCCGTTTTAGCTGAATGAAAACATTTATCCTTATAGCAACTCAAATGAAACCTCAGACTATGCAACGTCTATCTTCTTCATCTCAAAAATTCGTTCCAACGTTGCGACGTGTAGCCCCTGTAGCTACTAATTATGTCAGATCCCAACGTGTGTTTCAGTTTGTATTTTGTCACCATTTATGCAATAAACTAATGAGATAAAAGAAATAGCAGTTATTCAGTGTCAAACAGTTTTGTGCACCACAAATACTTAATGTCTCATTTGGAACGAAATAATGCAATAATTTGAAGAACTGAACTTCAAAGTATAATTTTCAGCTGGCAGTCGAAGTACATCACCTGCTTCTCGACTTCCTGCGCGTGTCCCTTCCAGAGTTCACATTAATAGTCGATTGGGAACGGTAATAATCAATTGTTTTTGTCTCGTTTTGTTGTGCACGATTTAATCTTTAGTAATTGCTGGAATTAAGTTTTTGAAACTTTCAGAAAAGTCAGGCAGATGATTCAGAAGATCACGCTTCTGTCAACAGCGATTCGTTTAGGTTGGACTTCAGTTTTCAATAATTAGATGAGACTGAAAATTTATTCGTTGTCTCTTAACTTTTTTGACTCTTGAGAGGAATCATATAGAGCAAAAATTTCATAATTAGGTTCGAAACTGTGGAACTAGCAACTGCGCTCTCCTATTGTGGTTCTTCATCAACAGCAGAAAAAAGAGAAGGATTAAAGGGCCTTCTCACTATTATTTCAAATGAAAAGCAAATCAGTGCAGTGGATTTGAAAAAAATCGTTGAACGTTTGAATCCTTTAATCGGCGAAGGTGCTCATAAAGTAAGTTGTTTCGAGTCTTTTCAAATATGTATTGTTACCGGTTTAGTCAAAATATTATGAGTATATTAATTTCTTTGGACAAACTTTGCACTTATTTAGAAGTATGCCCTCTAGCAGTTGTTTCAAGATCTAAAAATAAAAAATTTTCGCAAATCACTTTGTTATTTAATGATTTATTATTTATTTCTTGCTTTCCAGCTTTTGCAACTGCTTGGTGATACAATCATTGCTTTAATCCGTCGTTATCATGATGAATTGAATGATTGGTTAAATTTATTAATACCAAAGTTAGTGGCCAAATATTCAACAGATGTATTGCCTAGTAATATTGAAAAATATGGTGTGATTTTGGATGCGGTGCGTCTAAGTTTTGATCCTGAGAAACAGCTTCATGCTGTCTGCAAATTTATTCGTGATCCTATACGAAATAACGTGAATGCTAAGGTATCGGTGATTTGTATATTTCTAAAGATTTATTTAAACTAAAAATAGAGCGATTTCCTAACTTCCTAAGAAGATTTTGGGAAAAATTTTCGATTTTCTTAATGTGATTTCTTTATGAATACAAAATTCACTTAACCGCAAAGTTTTTTTTATTGCATCCAAATTTATAGATAAAATCTGGATTATTACTTTACTTGCACAGTCTTATGAATGGAATGGATTCTGCTCCATCAATGAATCAGAGTGAAGTTCGACAAGCAGTTAGCAAAATATTTCAATGGGTTGATGATCCAAAAAACAATTGCTTGATAGGAGTAAATTTTTTAAAATTATTCCAAACCGAAGAATTTATAGTTGAAATTGTGCTGATAATTTTTTTTTTCGTATCTATATCAATCATTATAAGAGAGAGTCAGGATTGAAAGGAATTCAATTCAGGATCAAGCTTATATTGCACGTTTTAAGTCTTAGAATTTTTAAGGTCTATTGCTTTTTTCTAATTGATATTATAACGTTCAGTTCTTTAAATTAGATCAGTGAGAAAGTGGTGTGCGATATGTTCCACCTAAATGCTAGTGATTTCACTTCAATGCTTGCTACTTTTCCAAATGATCTGAAAGACCGTCTGCAGGCTATTGTTCGAAAACATAGCTTTAGTTTGTCAGTTAGCAATGGATTTAAGTATGTTTTGTCATCATTTAAATTTTTAATACTTTTTATCAGTTGCCCACTCAAAAGCAATGTTTAAATATATTTTTTAAATAATTGTTCGGTATCATTGTGGCAGAAAAGTATTGAAAACTTGCTTTTCATTAAAAGTAATAAATTAAAGCATGCGATGTTGAGCTTTATATTTAAGATTTAAATTTTTATTATTTTAGTGCTAATGAAACTCGTGCAGGTATACTGGAAACAACAGCTCAGGCTAGTATTTCAATTGTCTTTTCATTACTTTTAATTCAATTAAAAATATCAGGTAAACAAAAGTACATAATTTCTTGTAGATTAGCGATTTTGTTGATCGGAAATCAGGATTTTCCATGTCATCAGCTCGTGGTTCTCCGAATGGTTCACTACGAAATAGTATTCCCTCACGACTAAATAGTGGGGAGGATCAGAATGAAGTTTCTTCATTTTATATCTTTATTAGATCGAAACTTTATTTCTATTGACCATTAATATTCTTTCTCTGAATTTTTTAACTTTCAAACAAAGTAAAGGTGTGCCAAATTTCTTGTGATATGATTTTGATAAATTTTTATTCACCTTTGAAAAATTCATATTTGTAGTCACTGTCTTCATATGTGCTAGATCCAAAAGCTTTTGCTAATGATCTTCAACAGCAAGAAGAATTAATAACCAAGATAGGCGAGGAACTTTCTTTCCATAATCAAAGGTAAAGATTTTTCAGCTATATGAAATTTATAAATTCAGAGGCTATTAAAAAGACTTTGCTTCTATTTCATCTTGACTAAGTTTAGATCAATTATTTAAAACTATTTCTTACTTGTACTTTTCACAGAAATGAAGAACGCCAAAGAGCGATGGCTGTACTATCTCAGATAACGCGTGATAATTTATTTTCCCTTTGGGATAAGAATTTCAAAATGATATTTCTATTGCTCATTGAAACTCTTAAGGATATTGATGAAAGTATTCGTCGGACGGCATTGAAACTTTTAAAAGAAATCTGGTAATTACTGTTTTATTTTTTCATGATCTCTGTATCGCTTATTAGTTTTGATACTGCTTATTCGAACGATCATATTTTAGAATCAGAAATTTTTTGTTGTTGCGTGCGGTAATAGTTTTATGTATTAATTTTTGTTTTTATAGTTTCGCGCAGGCTTCACGTTTCAATGAATTTGCTGAAATGGCACTGATGCGTGTCATAGATGCTTGTACAGATGAATCCAAGCTTGTAAGTATTGATTTCATTGGAATTCAATTCCTAGTTTTTAAAAAATATTTATAATAACAGCAATCACTGCAATGAATACTTTTTAGTTAATTTCGCTTTCATAACCAAGATATAAGACTGTTTGAGGTAGTATCAAATGCTGAAGATTGTGGTATGGTGTTAGCAACTCATGTGTCATCTGCAACATGCCGCCGAGTTCTTTTGGCCATTATCAAATCCAATGTTGCTGAGGCAAAAATTTATGTTGCTATCAAGTTGTTGACAAAAGTGATCGAGTCACTGAGTGTTGAGGAACTGGAATTAATTTTAGATGAAGTTGCACCATCAATAATTAATGTTAGTTCTATCTTTAGTAGTCTGAAATCATCCCCTGTTTAAAATAAGTTTATAGTTTTTTGCAAATGTGGTTTTGTTGGGAATAGTTCCTTATTATATTTCCAGTAAATCTTAAAAATTTTTTGTTTTAATCTTTTTTTTTTTGTGATTCAATCCATTCATTAATCTGCTAGTATCTTTTAGATCCAAGTTTGTTTTTGATCTTTTAAGAACTTTTTTTTTAGACTTACAACTGCGACAGTAGTTCAGTCCGTAAAGAAAGTGTGGTTTGTTTGGTAGCAATGGTCGGCGTTGTAGGGGAAGAACGTATGGCTCCTTACTTATCAAATTTAAGCAAAGGAAAGGTAGGACTATTTGGCAAGTGCAAATGTTTATCAGTTGAAGTATTTAGATAATTTCTAAGTGCAAAAGATAAGTAATGTTTAAAAATGAGCTAAATGTTTTACTTTTGAAAAAAATTTCTGATAGCTGCACGAATTTATTAATTTTTAAAAGCATTTATGGTTATTGTTGAAAATTCACTTGCATATTTTTCAGCAAAAGCTGTTAGATGTATATGTGAAACGTATGAAAGGGATTGAGTAAGAATTCGAAGAACATGGATATCTGTCCAAAAATTCGTAACAGTTTTATAGGCGCTAATTTCTGTATAATTTCGTTAGCAATATATATATATTTCAACACGCTTTCGAAATAACGATTAAAAATTTAAAGACTTTGCGTTAGAATTGAAATAATTATAATGATGGAGATGGATTTACTGCTGCTATATGGAATGTGGAGACATGTTGTGATTTATATCATTTACTTCACCTACAAAGTTTTAAGTTTGAAATTTCGAATGTGATATTAAAGTAATAAATGAAACTAAGAAATAGCTGATAATGTTATAGTGTCATGAAAACATTACATGGATGGAAGTCTTGTAAATTATTTTGTTGTTGAAATTATTCCCATGAAATTTTGGAATGTAAAACATTGTGTGGTAAATGAGTACTATAACGGATAAAATTTTTATTAGAAAGAGTTTGACTCGAAACAATTTATAGCTATGATTTTATATGTGTCAATTTGGTAAAAGTTAGGGCACAGGGTACATGTTGGTGCGTTGATTGGTCAGTATACTTTTGCTTCATATTTTTCTAATTTTTTAATCATTTTCAATTTGTAAAGGGAATGTAACAATTATTATGAAAAATGTTTTCTAAGTTATGTAATCCTTTTTATTATATTGCATTGTCAGATTTGTTTTTTCTGAACAGTTATTTTGCAAGTTGACTATTCCGAAATTGTACCATCGTTCTGGTTCATCTCTTGTGATGAATTCGTGTGGTATAATTTGCTGGTAGCGTAGTCGGCACTAAAGAATATAATTATACGCAATTAGTATTCGAAACATTGTTTAATTTGAAGATGTTTTCTTGTATTCAAAGTTTTGTTATATGCATATTCCATGTAAGTAATAAATTTTAAGAATTCTTATAAGAGAAAAAGGGTTTTGTTTTTATAGTTCCTTAAAAGATTTGATATAAGTCATTAAAAATGGTCTCACACGCGTAATTAATATGCTATTAATTTGAATTTAAAATGAAAAAAATTGTCAACCTTGCTTCTGCTCAAGTAACCAATATAGGCGTAAAAAAGTGGTCTAATAGTTTTAGTTGATAAAATTGTTGCTTTCAACTCGAACCATCCTGTCGTGTTAGTTTTTGTAACTGCTAGAATTTGTTCATTTACTGAAAGGATTATCATTATTCGAAGAAATCAGGTGGCGATTTTTAATATTTTGGAGTTTCATGTTGTTCCTAACAGTTTATTACTTTAGTACATGGAAGTATTATTCAAGTATAAAATCATTCAAAATTAAAAGCTCGTGTGAATTTGAAGAGTATAAAAATAAATGGTAAGAGCGTTAAATAATTGGCAAATATATAAAATATTTTAGCAATTGAAAGTGTTAAAAGTTGTAACATACTGCAAACACTTTAGCCTCAAGTAAATGCAATAAATTTTCTTGATTAAATATTATTAAAAGCAACAACATTTCTGTATTTGAATTTTATATTTAAAATGAGATTAAAACTGACAAAATTTGTTATTAATTCCTATGACAACATTAGTGTTAACCACATTCTTCGAGCCGCACTTTACCTGCCCTCGAATAGCAGCCGTATGCATAACTTCAAAATCGTTTGCAGCAAACGATATGATGAAAAATTTTACAAGCTGTAAAATTGAATACGGAAACATGTGCTGAAATAAATTAAGTAAAATAAATGAAGTTGAAATTCGCGTGACTCGAATAAGACTCAGTTATCCATTAAAGGTGATGTGATTGCAGGCTGTCTGAAGCATATCATTCATTCCTTTTTATTTTAGCTTATTTTATGAAAAACATCTTCAGACATGTCTTATCTCCTATGGAAATAAGTCTAATGAAAAGTTGAAAAAGTTTTTTTAGTATGAAAGTAAAGGATAAGACTTGGTGTAGACTGATTGATCACGTTTGTTTAGTTAACTTTTTGAGCAAAGTTACATCCCATTCAATCTCAAAGATCATTAATTAATCTTAGTGACATATGCATAGATAACTTTGAAGCATATGTTCAAGTAATATCAAATCAAATCCAAAAGTTTAATTTTAAAGTGATTACATCTATACAACAAATTTTTTTCATTTCAAATGAATTGCTTTTGGAGGTTTTATATTTCAGATTTGATATCATTAAAAATAAACCTAATCAAATAAAACTAATAATAAAAATTCATCACACTAAATTCAGCCTTAACAATTATATTGGCATTTTTTTTTTGCGTTTTTGTGAAGAATTCAAAATGTTGTTTTATTTATTTGACAATAGTTGATACAACTTAGTTACACAATGGTAATTTTTAATATAGAAAATTTTGACTTCACTATCAAAAGTCATTAACATCAGAAATGGCTGGCATTAATTACTGCATATTAGAATTTGTTCAATTTTAAAGTCACTAACATCAGTTTGTATTTTCCTGCAAACAATTTACTTAATAAGCTTTATTAAGCCTCAGGAAAGGAATAGTTCTTAAGTTTGCTATGTAAGTACAGCTCGTCTTACATACTAATCTGATTTTTGTAAATATTTTCTATATTATTACAAATTTTAATTCTTATAACAATTTTCAATTACTGAGCTTTAATGCAAACACAATTTGTTACTTTTGATATAACTAAAATTATTATAAACTTTCTGACTAAACCAAATACAGTAAAGTACAGTTGAAAAAAAGGAATCTCCAGGCTTCTATTGTATGCATCTGTACAGTGTCAAGTTTTCAAATTATGCTTATCTATCGTTGATTTCTTTGATCTCAGAGTTTTTTTCCGTTTTCTTCTGCGAAATCTAAGCTTTTTTTTCCCCTAAAATACTGCAAAATTGACTGAATTAAAAAGTTTAAAAAATGCAAAAATTTTCTTCAAAAAAGAAAAAATGTGTAAAAATATTCGAAATTAACGCAAACTTTTTATTAAACTATCAAATAAACGAATTAAATCAGAAAAATGCAAAAAAAAAATTCGAAAAAAAATTTTCTTAAACTAAATTGTCATGCAGTTATGATTTGAAAAAATGAAAATATTTAAAAATTGCTAAAAAACTAAACTTAAAAAAAAAATTTGTTGCCATAAATTAGTAATTGTGTACAAAATATTTGCAGTGTGCATAAATGTAATGATTGAAATGGATATACCCGAGATCCTGTAGTACTTTTAGAATGGACGTCATCTTTAGAAGTACATTTTTCAGATGCATCTACATCATCTTTAGAAGTAACTTTTTCCCCGCTTAATGCTCCTTCCACCACGTTTAATTTTGTATGAACTTCATCTTCTGAATATGCATGCTCTAATACATCTTCTATTATTTTCACTACCTATAATTTGCATATTAAGTGTTGATAGTGAAAAATAAAGTTATAGCAACGTTAAAATATTTAACAGCATGAAAACTTTCATAATTATTTTTGAATTACAAAAAAATTTCCCGTCACTGAAAATACTTTATATTATTATTTATGTAAATATTTTTTAAATATTTATTCTTTTTTTATGTTTTTCAGTATTTGGTTTCAGCTTTGATGATAACACATTTGCTTTTCATATAAATATTTTTGCAGTGCTTAATTTCAATCTCAGTAGTAAAGTATTTGTTTCTACATGACAAATATCCCTCTGATATTATGTTCAAATCAGTATAGAAATAATACCATTGGTATAAGCTAAAATATTATTACTATTATTGTAAAATGATTTTATCATTGCAATAATCATTTAGAAGTTTCCTACCTAACTGCAAAACTATTTTAAAACGATTTTTTGAAAATAATTTTACTAAACAATTTTGATATAACTATTTAAATGTCTTTTTCAAAATAAAAGCATTTGACTTTTGACATATTATAACGTCTATCTGGATTTTGTTCCCAGCATTTGATCATTATTTGAAATATGAAATCCGGACAGCCTTCTGGTTTCCTCAATCGTTCCCCACATGAAATCTGTACAAGCAAAGATTGTTTTCTAGATTTCAGACATCAAATTGAAATTTTTTACATATTTATTGGTAAAAAAGGTAAAAATTTTAATTTTTTTACTCAAACCTTTTATAAATGTATAAATTTATGCGAAATAAACTTTGATAATAATTTTTAATAAAATAACCATTCGTTTGACTTCAATACTTGTCATTCCTTTATATGGTTCTTCTCCATCTGAGAAAATTTCCCACAATAAAATACTAAATGAAAACACATCGGTCTTTGGGGTATATTGATATGTCACCATACTTTCTGGTGCAGTCCATTTCAGTGGTACTTTTTTGTTACCTCGAGCCATCTCATAAAAATCTCCTTGTCTTGACATGCCAAAATCCGTAATTTTTGCTACTTTTTCAAGCGTGTAAAGTACATTTCGAGCGGCAATATCTCGATGAATTACTTTTTGCGCATGAATATATTCCAATCCGCGAGCTGATCCAAGTGACATATTTTCAATTTTTTCAATTTCATCCACTTTACCTTTTCTGTATTCCAAAACATCTGCCAAACAACCTCCATTTACCTCAAAGAATTTTTAGAATACCTTTCAGATACCACTCGTAAGTCTTGCAATAAATCTTTTCAATTTTAGTACAGATAATGTAGGAAAATAATCTACGTTATTCGTCTAATTATCTCACTCACATCTATTATTCTTCTGTTTGCTTTTTCTACTCTAATTATAAGTCTAATAAATATTGATTAATAAATAAAAAATATTAATTATTATTTTTATCATGGTTATGTATTACTTTTGCTTTCTTTTAAAAAAAATATTGGAATATAAGATGGCCTAAAATTAGATCAGAAAGCAATGAGATTGCATATATGATGATACAAATTAATATAATTATAGATAGCATTAAAAAATGAAATGAGTAGTAGTGTGCTCGAATAATCCCTCTAAATTAATAATTAGCAAAATCGAAGTGTCGCATAGAGGTAATTTGTCAAGACGTGAAGTTATGAAGTGAATATAATCTCTTAGGTTTTTTCCATGCTAAGTGTTTACAAGTGAAGTGCTTCAGAAGCACTCAACGAATAAGAAAACGTTAAAATTCAAAATATTAAAACAAAGTATGAAACGTTCATATCACTGCAAAGTACAAAATTGACGTGAATAAATTAAATTATTTGCTTATCAAAGATATAATTTAAAAATTAAGCATAAGTATAGGTTTTTTAAAGATATATCAAATTTAAACCATTTCAATAATAATCATTAATGGTTCACGACACACAGCAACACCATGAATTTTCACGACATTCACGTGATGAAAGTAACGCATCAATCTTGCCTCGTGCATCATTTCCTTAACCTTCATCTTCGCTTGTTGTAATTGATTCTTATCTTTCACTTGTTTGGTCTGAAAATTTGTAATATATTATCACGTTAAATTTATGCTTTTCACTTAACAATACTATAAATTATCACAATTTTTTATTTAATTAATTCAAATTTTGAATTAAATTTTTTTTTAAACTTTGTAATAAATTGAAATTAATCCTGCATAAAATACTTTTACTTTGTAAGCAAAAATTAAAAGCAAATTACTTATGCACTAATCTTAGTTCTGTTTATTGATTGATATTAACATTTGCATCAATCAATTCATTACTTTTTAAGAATGGAATATGCAAATATATTTTCAAAAAAACCAAAGTTACATACAAGTTTAACAGCTACGAGTCTTTTTTTGCCATCAATGGGTACTTCAGCTTCTCGAACTTCTCCAAATTGACCTTCTCCGATTAAATCTTTCAATACCACATCTTTATGCAAAAATTCCCATGACTGTCGTGGTATGGCATGGATTAATTGCGATGTTTTTATCTTCAAGTTATTACTATTATCAAAATTATACTGTAGTAATTTATTGCTTTTTTAATTAATCAAAGCAAATAATCAATTATTGTAGCATAATTAGCTCATTTAACTCCACAAAAATTTCATTACAGTTAAAATTCAATTATCACAACTAATATAAAAATTTTAAAAAAGAAAATTCAAGCAGAAATTTAAATATTTTAAATGAACAGTCGTCATTTTTGAAATCAGAAAGCTTAATTTAGCAATTTGCTATGAAAATTTACTTCACGACAAAATTCAAATGAATACTTTGTGGATAACAAAAAAATCAGAATACAATTTTATTATAAATATTATTAAAAAATTTGTTCCTTCACGTAAGTTTCTTTTTCATATTTACTCTAATATATAACTGTATGAAATTTTTGTTTGTAAATTATTTATCAGACATATAACAAAGGTATACTTCTGGATTTATTGGCTTCTTTGTTGTAAGGTATGTGTCAATAAGTTCCTTTACAGAATTAAATTTGTTTCCTTCGCTTGCAAGCCATTCAATAGTTTTACGATCTTTTTTACGTCTACGTATTACTACGTGTCTGATCTGTTGTAATTTAATTTATCTATTAGTAATAAAATTAATTCCAAATCAAAAATCAATTTGTAGTTTCGATTTTGCAATTAGCTTTATAACAAAATTATTTTTACTGCTTTATTTCATATATTTATATTTAAATATATTAGTTTTATATAATTAACGTTTTTTTCAGATTGTGACTTCATTAATACATACTGCATGTGGTGAATCGTCGTCACTTACACGTACAGATAAAACAAGTTCACGTTGACCAGATGGCTTTGGCTGAGTAATTCGAACTAAGAAATCTCCTGTCTGTAATAAATTTCAGATAAATTATTATGCAGCAATTTAACGCAATTTTATTGCTCAATTTTATCACATCAAATTTGTATACATTTTCAATCCGTGAATAGTATTAATATTCCAAAAATAAATTACAGAAAATAAAAGTATTTTTTCATTAACCTTTTTCACAGTTATTAAATTAATTAACTTAGTTGTAATAGTAATTTCAAAGTAGCGCATATCGAAATCATACAGAAACGCAATTAATTTACACATAAATTTACAAAATTTAGAGAAAAATTGACTAATTTATTCTTCTTCTAAACTTGTAAAGAATTAAATGCAATGAAGTTTGTGCATTATGTAATAACAATACTTAATTCATACTTTACAGGATTTAAACTAAATGCTTTGTTTTCATTATTTTCAATTTTATAAAATGATCTAATTTTAGTTACTGTGTCAATTTAAGTATATTTCATGCAAAGAAATTGCATATTTTTAAATTATATAATAATTTATAAGTAAGTTTATTTTACAAATTTTGTTATCACAAATAAGTTAAAACAATAAATATAAGCATGAAGGGAATTTCAGGTTGCAAATAGGTTGAAATGTGAGAATTCAGGCGATAAAAAGTGTACGTGTACCCGTCCTAGCAAACATGGAAGATCTTCCCGAGGCAGCAATCCATGATAGCAAACTTCATTCTCAACTTCTTTCTGAATATCATTCAGTGTAAGACTCGTGTCTTCTTCTTTTGCATGTGTATTTTCCATTAATCCTTTTGGTTACATAGCTATAATACTTTATTCGGTATTTAAGTATTTAAATCAAAAGTATTTCACATATTTTGGCTCATTTGTAAAAAAAAATACACTAATACTTATAACATGCTAAAATTTTGCAACAAAGAAAAAGGCATGTTCTAGCCATAGTTATTCGAGACTACTAGTTTGATCAGTTATTAATTACGATTTTATTTAAAATTTACCAATCAATAAGATATTTTATCTTCAATTCACACTTTTTGTAGTCCAAAATTATTTTACAAATCGAAAGTCATTTTTGTTCACAAAAATTTAATTTTGCCTTTGCAATCAAATTTACAAAAACATACCAAACATTGGAAGCAATAAAAAGTGAAATAGCTTTTATGCCATATTTTTCACTTTTTACTTTTGTTTTTTATTACGCAAATATTTGCATTAAAATTTGCATAAAAATTAATCATATCAAATCAGTCTTATTTATTGTGTCTATATGTTAAACTTTTGTCTGATTTAATCTTGATTTAGTCTCTTTGTTTTCTTCTACTATTAGTAGTAATTTTGAAATAAATTAAACGATTTATACATGAAATGATAGATTATTCAGTTTTGAAAAGACGTACAAATATTAGCGTACTAAAAAATTAAAAAATAATTTGCAAATTTATTTTCAATATACTCAGCGTATTTATACGTGGATTAATTGTAAGTTAAGTCATTTATTTTCATTACTGCAATCAGATAACTGTGGTGCGCATTACGCATTACAAAATTTAGCATTACGGATTGAAAGTCGAGATTGGCATACTTATTTGGAGTACTTCGCTTTTCGACTCAAATTTTTAGACTTTTAGACTTTACTTGGTCAGTTGCATTTTTTAAATTTATTTTTGCAAATTTTTAATTAAAAATTATTTTTTAATCTTAATTACAAGTACAAAATTAAAGTCAAATAGTAATCCAACTTTTTTCGAGAGGAGAAAACAAGTGCAGTAGTAATCATTGCTGGTAAGTAACGAGCAATTATTATTTTTTAAATATGTACACAAATTAATGCATTACTCTAAAACTTTTAATGTTTTCAGAGTTTTTGTAAAGATTTATGTAAAAAATTGATTAAACTAAGATATTATGATTATCATTAGTTAATAGTTTGAATAATAAATAATAATTTTTATTCTAGAAAGAAATTTCAGAAAATGAATAGTAATATTCTTTAAGGGAATGAATCTTATAATTTTGTGTAATTTACTCCAAACATGCCATAATTGCAAGTACTAATAATCACCAGTAAACTGTAACAGTTTCTGATTTCTACTTATAGAATCCTTGAAATTGATCAGATTCTTTTGTACATGCAAATAAAAGACTGATTTCTTATTTGCGAAGAAAATAAAAATACAAAGTAAGTATAAGTTTTAATTATAAAAATGCATTAGTGTTAATCAAATTTGTATTTTTATGATTAATACTAATGGAAGTGTTAGTAGTAAAGTAATAATAGTTGTTGCTCCTCTCTTACTTTCCGAATTTAAGCTTCATGCTTGAAGTGAATAGATAACCTTCTGGAATCTAAATTGAATATCTCAAATTCTAGCGCTATTTTGCAAATTACAAATCTGCAATAACTTTATTAAAATTGCAAAAATTCTTCAAAGAAGTCAGAAAGTGATTTCATCTATGAAAGAGCTTCTTATACTGAGAATAGCAAGAATCTTTATGAAAAGTTTTTGAAAAAGAAACTGGAAGTGAAAGGAGAGTAAGAATAGAAAATTAACGCTGAAAATGTTCCTTAAAATTACTTAATGATCAGCGTGAAGAAAAAGTTAAAAAAATAAAATACTTTATTAATGAAAATTATAGAGACTGTTTTATATTACTTATATGTGTACATTGGTGGAATTGTTATAAAAGTTACAAGTTTTAATTGAACGATCAAAAATAATTGTAAATTTTAAACGTGAAATTACTGGATTCACGTTGAATGAATTTGCTATTAATATTAGTAATCAATAACAATAATAGTAACACCAATAAGATTTAATAGTAACATTTAATATCATTATTAAAAATTACTAATAAAGCTTATCAATCATAATGACTAAAATTCATGTTCCTACTTCACTTGTAAATCTATTTTGTAAATCGAATCATTCATCCAATACTACAGGTAATTTCAATAAATCTTACCAAAAAATTGCAATCAATTGCAGTGAAATTTTCCCCACCACGTGACCTCTAATTTTTTCAAAAATACAACACTTTCGTGTAGATGATGAAAATTAATTTTACTGAAGGCATTAATTAAGTAAAAGCAAAAATACGGTTTCATGTGAAAAACGAAGATGTCTTGCAGTTCAGATTATGTTATACTTACTTCTCCATGGCATAAACTTTAGTTAGTCTTCCGGGACGATAAATTAATAACTTTGGGACTGAATGATACTTATTTCTTACTTTCTCACATTCCTCAAGAAAAAATATACTGAAATGTTGCGGAGTTATTCATTTGCTCCTGCACATTTTGTATTTAATGGAATTTTTGCTAAACAATGTTTCAGTTATACAAAAATTAGTGACTTTTAGAAAAGTATACATTGAAAAGTATTATAAGCTCAACAATACTAGAAATATACAGAAAGTATGAGTAATATTTATAAAATGTTGCTAGAAATCGGAAATATCTTAGAAATTTATAAAATTTCTCACTACTTTCCAAAAATTAACTGAACAGTGCTATTCAAAAGAACTTGCGTTTTCAAACGAAATTTTTGATTTGGATTAGATAGATACGGTAGGTTTATAAATTTCTGTTGTTGCTTAGCAAAAAGTGAGTGAAGTGTGTAGTATTTGATGGATTTAAGCTATGTTAAGGCATATGCAATAGGTTTTGTAAGAGTTTTTTGTATTATTCTATTCACTTCTTTTAATGGATGAAATGTTTTTGTTAAAATCAATCAATTAGTTCCACCTCTGACTCGTAAGGTTTAATATCTGTACTACACGGCTTTCCAATTATAAGTTCGTTTTGTTATTGTTTTGTTGATTATTGACTAATATTATAGAAATTTTATTTATTTTAGCTTTCTTTTAGTGCGAAGAAAGCAAGAATTTCAAGTACTAATCTATCATTTGCAATATTTTCAATCTTTATTTATGTGCAGCAAGAATACTGCATAAATAATTTCACCTTTCAACATGTACACACGTTGTTTTAGTTTCATTGAATTTGCAGCATTTTCATAAATTAATAAACTAAGGATTTTTCGCAAATACAGAATAGTTGAATTCTTTTTAATATTTATTGTTCGAAACATTTTTTAGTTACGAAAAGTGCGGAAGTTAGACTTATTTTTTTGTTGCTTTTTTATTTTCATTTTTTTAATATTTGTTTTGTTAAAAATAAGTTTTCTGCGAAGAAATAGACGTTGAAGACTGTGGATCATTTTGGTCATTTCTTTTTCTTATCTTTTGGCTATAAACTACTTCACTATTGTCCTCACTTCTAAGTCGTTTCCTTTTACTAAAGTGTGAATAAATTTTTTTCCAGAAGATTGTTCCTGAGAACTACACGTTATCTTCGGCAAGAGGATTAACGGCAGATAGCTTTCGGGAAGATTAATTTTGTCCAAGAATACATTTTTGCATTGCTTTTAACACTTATTCTGTCTTCGAAGGTAATTTCATCTTTTTTCATGTTGGAATCGTTAAAGTATTTCAGTTTAGCATGCTCATTACGCTCAGTTATGTGAAATATATGTGTGAAATATTGTGATCTATTTATTTAAGTCGTGAAGTAGCAAAAGAAGAGATTAAATATTGTTACTATGTAATTAAGGACAATTTTCACTGTTTCACACGTTAAAAGAGTATTATTCATAAGTTTGTTTAGTATAGAGTACGTAAGGATTAATGGAGCATTTTGCAAATCGGCCAGCTCAGGCACAACAGCATGTTTATACCACAGCGCCTTACAATATCTACCCAAACCAACCTCCTTACATTGCAGGTTTAATAAGTTTTGTTGTTTTTCAAGTCATTAAATGTTTGTTAAATTATCAATATGAAATTAATTGATTATGGTATTTTCAAGCCTAGGTGCTTGAAAAATTTTCATGTGTCTTCTCAAGTTCATACTTGTGTCATCTTCAGGAGTTTTCCTACAACTCAAGTAATTTGAAGCGAGCAGTTCTAAAAATTTCATGTGTAGTACAGATATTTTTTTGCGAAGTTTTCTGTGAATATTTTTGATGAATGCTCATAGATACGTAGGGATGATAAAAAAAAGTTTTAGTTTCGCTTGAGACAGTCACGTATAAAACTGCTGACTCAATTTTATTGCATTTAAAAAAAATGCTGACTTTACTTTACTGTACATTTAATTATGGCAGGTCGCTTGAAAAGATATTGCTTGTTATATTTTTCTTGTCAGTGACTATTTGATTAATGTCGTTTTTCTGCTTTAATTTAGGAGGTGTAGAATGGATGAAATCATTTTCAAAGAAATAAAAGGTTTCTGTGAAGCATTAAAATAATTCTTAGCACTTTTGATTTTGTAAAAAGCTGATATTCTCTGCAAAATTAAAAAGCATAATTTAGTACGAGTTTAATCTATTCGTCTTCTAAGATTTATTTGACCAATGTTCCTCGAAAATAATCGATAGGCAATGAGATTGAAATTGGGTTCATTAAAATAAATTGGTTGCGCACAACTGTTATGTTTAGGGAGTTTATTTTGCAGTGTTATTTAGACAGAGATTTCGTATATCTGATGCAGTTGTTAAGATGCTAGTGCTTCTGATTTTGCTGCTGTGTTGTTTTAATTCATTGATTGGTTACTACATGAACTTTCTGGTTTTAAATCAATCCACTAGCAATTTCGTAAATACTTTTGCGAGAGTGCATTCATCATTGTTTGCTTTTTGATATTTAAACTTTTTCATCTTTCTTTGCTTTCTAACTTCTGTATTAATAAATTGTGGTATTTTGCAAAGTAAGAAAAAGTTCAAAATATGAAGTAAAATTTGTGTTTGGTTTAAAAGTGAGCTCATTTTTCCGTTACATCTATAATTAGACTCGTTTTTTTATTGGAGCTAAAATTAAACTCACTTTGCACATAGTTTTGATTGTTGCATTTGCACTCGCACTCGCACTCGCACTCGCACTCGGATAATTTCTTTCTCCATTGAGTGCTTTTTTGCGATATTAAGCCCGAATTATTATCTCATCTCACTGAGTATTGGCAATATATTGTGAGTTGCAAGAAAATTTTCTCTTATTTGCATTGCATGGCTGTTCTGTGTGTTGAATATAGATATATTGATTATGAGAAAAATATTTTCAGCATTAATTAATAATGATGTGAGATTTTGGACTAAACAGAGCTATCTGGTTACTTTTACTTTTATATTAATGAGCGAACATTTCAGCAAGAAATATTCACAATAAAATACGTGATCAAATATGTTGGAGTTAAATTATATATATATAATTTAACCTCTCACATCTAATTCTAACAAACGTGATGATTAGCATTTATGTATGCATGTGAGAAAGTTTGCATCAGATATGAGCAGTGCTTGAGAAGTATCGGACAGATTCATTTGCATTTTCATCTTCCATCTGTCTGTTATTGTTATTGCTAGCAAGCAAATAACTGCAACAGTAATATATACACTGGAAGTAATTTTGTATTTGGCTCTTTATTTTCGAATGCACGACAGATAAGTTAGTTGCCTTTAGACTACATCAGTCAGCAACACCAGTAACTCTCTCTCTCTCTCCCTCTCCCTCTCCCTCTCACTCTGTCCTCTTTCTTTTCCTCATTCAAATTTGTTTTCTGAGCAGCAAGCAACTTCTTTTAATTGCTTACTCATTTGAGCATTTCTATGAACGAGTGAATGGATGGATGCTTTGTAGAAGGCGGCCTTTGTCTTATGTGAGAATGAAGTTCTTGCAAAGTAATTTCAGCAGATAGACAGTGCTACAGTTTTTGAAGAGCTGATCGGAATCTGCGGTCAGCATGCATGATATGTATATTCTTGCTAGAGTGCTAATTTGTAGTGTGTCTCTGTGAGTGCTTGTCTGTCTGTCTGTCTTCATGTATGTATGTGTGTATGTACCTCATTTATCATCACATCACATCATTGATATAAAACAGCGATTACATCATTCGATTATTCAGATGCGAGGATTTTCATTTTAATGAAAATCGAAAAAAGTTGGATTAGTTCATTTTCTGAGAAGGATAGTGAAGAAAGAGACGAGTTCTGTTGATTGTGTGTCTAATGCAGGCAGTTCGTGCTTTCTCATGTGCAGTGATGCTTGCTCAAACACAAAAACATATGTTTGCGTGTGTACAAGCCTCCGTCTCTTTGGTATATTAGAATTGTGTTTTACATTATATAGTTCTTTTGATTAATTTTCTCACTGCTATTTAAATATTTCAACAGTGTAGATGAACAGATACAAAACATTTGTGAGACCAAGTATGTATAAATGGTATTTCAGTGAAAAATTTCACCAATATTACATTTATATTATAAGTTAGTTCCAGTTTAGTATTTTGGAAACAACGATGCTTAATAATAAACTGCAGAGGAACTTTTCATTTTATTGTCTCATTTTGGAAAAGTATGGTGAAAAAAACCTGAATTTTGTTCTAGTCAAACAAAAGTAGTACTGCATTAACTTTTTTGAATCATAGGCTTTTAGTTTAATAGCTGAAAATTAGAAAAGCATAAGCTTTAGTAGCTGAACATTGGAAAAGTAGATCGGTAATGTATGATAAGATTGGTGAGCACATCATTTCATTAAAAAATTTTAGCCTATTACTTTTGATATGTGGACTTCTTAAAAATGGTAAGTCTGTTATGGTCTTGTTTCATATTTTAATTTTTTCAGGTTATCAAGCTGTACCGCAGCATCATCCAGTGACTTTCCAACAAGGTCCAAGTCACTACCCTCGACCGTCAATTGCGACTTGCCGTAAGTCAAAATTTATGTTACCAGTCATTACTGGTAACTTGATAATGTCAACATGCATCATATATCATTAACTTTTTACTGGTAATTTTACCTTTAACTTAGTTATGTATTGATTTTACAGGTAGCTTTTTTCAGGAAATTATTTTACTCATGTACATGCATTAACTAAATTGCGTCGGAATTTTATAGCTGTAGCAAATAATTTGCAACAACGCCGAGCAGGTTATGAAATCAGTGGAGGTGCCGTAATTCGTGGTAGCGGCGTACATCAGGGCAGCGTTCCATCGGTAAGTATCGCACATCAAGGCATGCAGCAGTCTGGAACTGCTTCTGGTGATGGACCGCATAGTATTGCTCAAGGCATTACGCCTTTGGTTACTTCACTTACACCACATTATTCTCTGTCGCCTTCTCAGGTTATCCTGTTTGTTGTGTCGAATAAATTTAATAGTTCTGATATCATACAGTAAAAAATGCATAGTACAATGATCTTGATTACTCGTTAGACAAATTATTCTTTTGTCTGATCGTAAGCACTCATAGAGAAAATATTTTTTACATACTCTCTTTGATTAAATCTTCATTTTTATCTTACTAAATACTAAAATGCACTGATTTTGTTATCCAACTTTTTGTCACTATGTGAATAAATATTTAATACAAAACAGCTTTATCTCACTATTTTCCTTCTCACACACCCTTTATTTTATGAAGCATGTTACGCTTTCTCTTGGTTGTTTTCATTTTTCAATTTTTTTGTGTGATCTCTACTTCTTAACCACAATAATCAGATTTATTTCAGCTTATTCATGATATCAGTTTTCATAATTTCATTTTTATAGGATATGCCACTGCGAATTGTTGTTGATGCAAAATATGTGGGAGCCATTATTGGTCAGGGTGGAGCTAGCATTCGAGAGATTATGAAGGAATCCAAAGCACGTTGTGTCGTAGATGTTCAGAGGAATACTGAAAAGGTTTTTATCTTATCATTTATAGTCTATTTCCATGCCAATTAGATTTTAACAGTCGTTTTGAACAAATAACTTTAATTTATTCTGATGGTTTCAGGTTATATCGATACTGGGGCAACCAGAAGGATGTTCCAAAGCATGCGTGAAGATTTTAGAAATTGTAAGAAAGGAGATGGAAAAAGATAATACCTTACCACAACAGTAAGTTTTTCCAAGTATATGTTTTTTTTAAAATATTCTCTTGCATGCAAATTTAATTATTATGATTATTATGGAAATAATGGCCATATTTGGTAAATGCGCATTATTATGCAAGCAGAGTTTGAGGTGAAATGTTTATAATATATACGATCTTTTTTTTTGTAAAAAAAAATATTTGGCTGCTAATTAGATTTGCAGTTGTGATGTCGAATTAAAAATCCGAGCTCATAATCAGTTGGTAGGGCGCTTGATTGGAAGAGGTGGAGCTACAATCAAAAAAATTATGGAAGAAACTGGCGCTCATATATTTGTGTCAAAGTAAGTTTTCATCAATATTTCATCTCAAAAGTTTAGATTTAGTGATTTTTATAAGTGTTCCATATCAGTTTTGTTTGGGTAGAAAAGTGTTGTGCACAATTTAGAAGGGTATTAGTTACATTTATTATTGTTCCTTACTCTTATCTGAATGCAAATGACAAAGGATTCCAGATGGAAACTTAAAGGTTTTTTATTTTTTTCCGTTTATAGAATCATTAATCTTAATTATAAGCAGTGATTGCTTAATGTGGATCGTCGTTTAAGTGATCCAACTTTCATCCGTGACTCTTACGGCTTAATGTCGCCGTACGTTGCTTCATCTTTATATGGATCTGATGTAGCTATGTACATGGAGCGAACGGTAACCGTGAAAGCTTCTACAATGAATGTTGTCTCTGCAGCAGAGCAAAAAATAAGTCAAAAATTACGCACTTGCTTTAAATCCGATGTAAATAGCCGGGTTTGTTTCAACTTCTAAAAATAATCGAAGTATGATATTTGTCCTGGGAAGATGATAAAGTTTTTTATATAGTAATCTTGATTATTTCCTTTATTAATTTTTCGCTTCATCATTTTAAAATTCTGATGTTAGAAGTTATTTGATCTTGAATTCCGAAAATACTATTTACAATTTCCTATTTTATGCAAAGATAGTATATTACATTTAGATCCGCTATAACAAGTTATAGATGTTGTACTCAAGTACGAGTGCTACAGCAACAGTGCCGTTAATGGCTTCAATTGGTGAAGCGGGTTATTTGAATAATGCAAGTGGTTTATCTCCTCATTACATTCGTAATGTAGTTGGAACAGCGAATGTTGGCAGTCAGAATCGAACTGTTCACGTATGGGTGCCAAATAATATGGTCGGTGCACTTATTGGCGCAAAGGTTGGTTTACGTTATGCAGATTTCTGGTTTTCTTTTAATGGGGAGAGAGTTTATGATATCTTTGGGATTGTTTTTAAATTATATATTCATCGGAAGTTTTCGTTTTTAACAATTTTAGGGTGCTCATATTCGTAGTGCAATAAGATTGACAGGCGCTCAACTTCGCATTGAAGGTGGCGCAAATAAAGAGAAAAAGGAAAATAAAGAAGAAGGAAATAATGACAAGAATGAGGTTAATTCGTTTGGTTTAGTCTTTTCTTGTCCTCCAGAAACTATTTTTTATTAGTGGTAAATTAAAGACTTTTGCATTCAGGAAAATATTGATGCCACTGAATTATTAAAGACAGAAGTAGCTGAAGTTAGTAGCAACGGCAATGAACAAAATAAAGATGAGGAAAATAGTGAACCAAAAGAGGATGAAAAAAAAGAGGAAAATGTAGAAAAAGTAAATGTTTGTCATTTTTTGAAATATCAGTTGTTAGTATTGAAGCTGAAATAATATTTGTATCAAGACAAATCATTTGTACAGGATCTTAATTTATATAGAATTCAGCTAATTTCTTGCAGTTGTTATAAAAATTATTGAGATTTCAGGCAGAATCACTAAAATTACCGAAGGATAAAGACAAAGACCCTCATATTGAGGAGCGCCTTGTTATTATTACTGGTAATGATCCTCAACAATATAAAGTAAATTATACAGATTTTCTTCATTTCTTTTTCAATCTTGACTAAACATTTTAAATTATGGAAAAAGGTTTATTATTTCTTTTCAATAATGAAGGTGCTTGTCATAATTCCGATTGTAGCTCTAAACTACTTTGTAAGAACATTATTCGTGATCCATTTCAAATTGTTTGTCAACTAATGGTTTAAAAGTAAATTTTTCAAGTAATAAATTGCTTATTCTAATTAAAAAGGTATGAAAAGTTACAATATTTAGAGTAGACCTCGAAGTAATAACTAGTTTATGGTGTAGTTGTTGTATTCATTTTCTTGTTAATGTAATTATTTTTTAATGTGATTTAGAAAATATTACTGGATTATTTCATGGCACCTTTCTTTTTTCACTGTTGATGAAAAATTGGTGTTCTAGGCGCAGTTTTGGATATATCAACGCATTGCTGAACAAAGCTACCATTCTATGGATGACATTCGACTTTGTACTGAAATAGCTGTGCCTAGTAAACTTGTTGGACGAATTATTGGAAAAAGAGGTCAAAACGTAAGTATTACATATTTTGAAGTAAAAGAAACGTTATGTACGCATACGTTTAAATGGAATAATTTCATATAATTTTCAGGTTCGCGAACTTCAGCGGGCAACTGGCGCTCAAGTTAAGATTCCTGAAGATGCAGGGGAAGACGAAACTCAGAAAGCAACTACAGTTCGTGTAATTGGTAATTTTCAATCATCTCAAGCAGTACAAGTGAAGTTAAGCCAGTTAATCAATGACTTCTCACAGCGATTAAATGTTGGGCCGGTCAATGGACGAACCGATCCTAATACTCAGGGTATGTACAGAAGCTCTGCATAGGTAATTTTTCTTTAGCATGTTTCAGCTTATATAAGCTTTTAGTTAGATCGCATTTTTTTTGCACTTCTTGAAATGCTTTCTAGGATTACTGCAAATGGTTGACAGTAATTCAGTCTTTAAGTGATTACATAAATAAAAATTGATTTTTAAAAGTACAGGTAAGAATTTCAAGGTCTATTTAAGTTTAGTGTAAAAACGTTATTCGTTGTTAATTAGAAACTAGTTCCAATTTGTGTTTCAATTTGTTGGGATAATCATTTGCTTGAGCTTCATTCACTGTTCTTCCGGACTGTGCGATGGCTTTTTGAGTAAGAAGATCAAATTAAGACTTCAATTTTTTAAGCATCAGATTCAGTTAAAAGTTCAGTGCAGTTTATTCGAAATTAAAGTAGTTTACTCTAAAAAATAATATCAAGTGTCTTCCAGGGCTTTGCATGTTGATTTAAGACTGTCTTAAAAACTTTTTGTTCTATTTTTAGCACACAATAAATTATCACTACAGTTAAATTTTAAAATTTAATTCTGTGATTTTTCTGCAGGTTCCTCACCAGGCCTTCAAGAGTCGTAATTACAGTGCTGAAGGCAGCGAAATTAAAGTAGTGTGCACTCTTAATTTCTAGTAATTCAGAACGATTTAGTGTCAGGTCAATTGTCGGTAAAGTGTTTTAATTTGCAATGTAATTATTTACTTTTTTCATTTTAATTTTGAAAGTTAATTGAAATTCGAAGAGAAAATTAGTCAGGTGTGTTTAATCAAGTATGTGCACATTTTGACATAATATGTATATTCTCCCTTATTATAACATGAAAATATCATCTGTTGATATTTGTGTACGTAGGGTAGCAAAATTTATCGTTGTCTGCCGAAAACGTTCGTATTTACATAATTATACTCTTACAACTTGTTGCTTACTAAGGCAAAAAATTTAAGCAAAGAGTAAAATTAGGCATTTCTAAGCGAAATTCGTAGAGGCTAATATTTGGTAATTTTACTATTTTGCTTTCCGTATACGGGAATCGCGTGAACAAGTTTTGTTCTCTGTCATGATTTTTTGGGCTATGATAAAATTTGTACCCGGATTCAGGGATTTGACTTTTCTGTATGTCAATTTTATCATAAGATCATGATGTCTTGAAGTGTATAATTATTTTGCTGCCTTACATTTTTTTGCTACTTTAAATGGCTTTTAAATACCAGTTGATGGTTTAAGTGCGGGAGTGCATTTTTTTTGATATAGTTGGTACTATGGGCAAAAGTTTTCAGTGATTTCTTTGTCACGTTAATGAGTAACTTTAGTGGTAATGCTTGCTGAGAGGGTAACATTAAAAAAGTACTTTGGAATTTCCTTTGATTGTCATAGTGCTCAAGCACTTGTTAGGGATTATTCTGTCAGCCTTGACTTATCTCTGATTTTTTACATTGAATATCTTGTTGTTTCATTTCGTTATTACTATGAGCTCCGAAACATCCCAATTGGAAAATGGTATTATTGTTGAAGTATTTGCATGTTATTATCTTTGATTCCTCGAAGTCACTACTTAAAATAAGAAAGATTTTCTGTCGAGTGAACAGATAATGGAATGGAATGACTTAGGCGGTCTATTTTAAATAAATTAAGCACATCATTAAACTTTCACTGCCAGTTTATATGTTTGTTTTTTCACTTTTTTGGTAGTTAGTATTGCACGTGTATTTTAAGTAAGTAATCTTCAAAACTTTGAAAGTCTAATCTTTACTGTAAGAAGTGAGTTCGTCAAAACATCTGTGATTTTAATCTCTAGTGTATCGTTCAAGGCATCCTTGAGACGATATAAGTAATGGTTTTGAGGATCTTCAATTTTTTGTTGTCGTGGATCCATTCTAAATTAATGTAATTCAAATATTGTTTTATGTAATACCAAATGGACTAACGGTCCTTGTATGTAATCGTGTGCAGAGCTAATGATCACTGTTTCCTTTATATCACATTAATTAACTTTGTACTTCATTGTAATACGATCTTTAGCAGTAATTTTGAATTTCTATTAGCTTTTGTATTTTTTTAAGTGCAGGAGTTTTGTTCATGAAAGCATTGCATTGTAAAATTCATAAGAAACTTCTTGTTTGTGCTGTAGTTGTTTCCTTACATTCTGATTATTTTTCTAGTTTATGAGTTAAAAAGTTGATTATTGTTAGATAAGATCTGATGCTATTACGTTTCTGTGTTATAAATCTAGTCAGTATGTAATTTCAGCAGAAAATGGATAGCTGAATAACTTTGGTTTAACTACTTAATCTGTTCTAGTCACTTTAATTTGCTGTGAAATAATTTTTCTGTGATGATTTCAATTTTAACAGTCTTTCTGCATTTCGGCAGTTTTTTCGCGAACATTTGAAAACAGTCGAATTATACTTGTTAATGAAGAGGCAAAATATTCATATCGAAGATTGGAAAGTCAATCAACAATGGCAAGAAACCTGCTTACCAATTATTGACATTTCATATTTTACGCTTTTTTCCTTAACTTCTAATGCCAGTACTTTGTACATGTTTCGATTCTGTAACAGAAGTATCAATCTTTTGCAGCTATATTCAGTCATTTCAATAACGCTTGCTTTGTCTTTTGTCGCATTAGCTTTTAGCATTCAGATTGTTAGCTTCTGCTGCCACGAAATAAATGTATTTCTGGATGTGTTTGAAAAGTACAAAAATATGAAGGACTACTGATTTTCAGTTAATGCAACACAATTCCATGATGTAACTGAGAAATTTGCATCAAAAGCCTGAACTTTATTCACCACATTGTTCTATTGAACAAAGGTGGTAATAATTTTGAGTATATTTCTTCCAAAATGGAAATTAGACAAATGCACTAGCTAAGATTGACAGTGCGAACCATCTTCAATGATGTTTTCGTGAGTGAACGGTATGCAAATAAAAATTTTTATGAACTGATTTTTGTGAATGATAAAGAATTCGTAAGTAATGTCGAAAAAACGTTTTGAGATAAACATTGTAGCAGACAAATATGACTCTCAGTGTAGTGAGAAAAATCGTAAGTAAACACACATTTACCACTAAGTGCCACACATCTACCATTGAGTTGAATCCGAGAAGAAGTAATTTAGTTGATAAACAAACAAGTTGGCTAGCAATGTTATCAGTTTCTACTTTGTACTACCACCTATTGGTCAAAATTATATGAATAGAATAAACAAAAAAATCATAATTAATCTGCAAATGATTCTATACTTGTGATAAGAAAACTGGTATTTAATTAGTAGGCGCTAATATATTAGCGAGATGTCAGCACTGTTAGCACTGTTCTCAAGCACAAATTCAATCCTTTATTCTTCTCCTTTGCTTTGAAATTGTTAAGTATATCAATGATTACACATTCCTTTTGCTATGTCTTTCTATTTTTATTACAACATGTATTCCTTAATTACATTATGCAGATGTAACCTTTTTCAAAAGTAAAACAATAAAAAGAATCCAGATTCTATCGCTTCCCAGTCACATTTTATACTTTGGACCTTTTCAGATCGAAGGGTATTGTTTTAATACTATTTGAAGTTTCACAAATTCATTACAGATATGTATTTCTGGTTCTTACTTATCAGCCTTTATATTGTTAATTTATCAACAATCGAAGGTGTAATTCGTATCTCTTCCGATACTCAAAAAGCTGTTGCTAATTATCAGCATGAAGAATCTTTTAACAAACGTGTACTGCTTGTTAAAAATGACAATTTAACATTGAACAGTATAGATGCGTGCAAAATTTGTGGGGAATTTATTGAAGATTTGAAAACAATTATCAATGGTACAGCATCATACTCTCTCAGTCGGGTAATTTTTATTAACTTAATTATTAAATTAAATAGATATTTAATCTATTAAAAAAATAAGATAAAAACTGTACTGGAAGGCCTTACAAATTATTATATTTTTCACAAATTTACATACAAGTTCACACTTAATAACAAGTTCAATAAATGTTTTTTGGAGGTATCACTGATAAATTGTATTTGTTTATAATCTATGCAGCAATATTTCAGGAAATGCTAGAACGATGTGAGCATAAGCTCGGTGATGATATCATTTTCGAGCCAATCTGTCGGGTTATTCTTATCGAACTGACGAGAGTTTTAAAATACATCAATGATAACATTGATTCCCGTAAAATATGCCACTTATTACATGCATGTGCTTGACTTCTTCCGATTAATAGTTATGATAATTACTTAGGATTGCTTTGTTAAACTTGCCTGCTATCTTCACAAGTATTGTTAAAATAAAATACAAATATGTCACAATTTATTGCATGCCTTCAAAACCAATGCTGAAACTGAAATCTGAAAGCTACCATGTCTAACAAAATGTTGCATATTTCACTGTACGTTTATATTCCGCAATGAGCAACAAAATAATATTCCACATTAAGAATAGCTACATTGGATACAAATCATTTTCATTTATCAGTTATAGAGCAATCACTGGCTTAACTAACATTTATATTAGCTGTTATTAAAAAAATGAAAGGAAGAGCCGTTTTTTAATGAATGCCAATTAGAATAGCTAAATTAATGATCGACTATTATTATCAATTATCCGATCAACCAGTTTTTGCAACGAGTAAAAACCTGTCAGTGACTACGGTGATAACTGCTATTAAGATATACGTAAAAAAAAAGTATAGAGATAATAAGGATAATGAAAATAATAATGACTGATGGATTATATCTTTTATACATAACAAAATTAAAATGATACATACGCGCAATGGTGAAATACTTAATCAGTTGCTTCCTGATTCTTTTCAACATAATTATAAGTCAGATTTCACTGCAAGCGATAAACAATGCTCATATAACTGCTGTTGTTCATTGCCACAAACTTTGCATCAGCAAGACATAATATAACATCATCACTATATGAAGTAACAGCGAGAAATAATAAATCACCCATTAACAAATAACACCACATCTACCTATACAAAAAGCTACTAATATTATTATTTACTATCCATCCATTTATGTACCTTATATCTATTTATCTATCTACTACTCTTTACCTACTTAGATTACTAAAAATATGCGAAAGTAATTTCTTCTCACTAATATTTATGAATTAAATGCCCCATTGTCAATAACAAGAAAGAAATTAGCACCGTACTGTTTTTTATAAAAATGAATTCTGTTGGGAAGTAGATGAGAAATCCCAAGATTACAAAAAATCTATTCAAGGCGTTAAATAACACGTTTTAAGATATTTGACTAACTCGTAAGTAATAGTTATTCGCGAATAATAACTATGTAATAATCATCAGACAGTTATTACATGCGAACACTTTAATTACTGATTGAAAAACCCCACAATTAATTAAGAAATATTCTTGAATGCTACGCTTACAAAAACACACCACTTAAAAATCGTTCAAATGATGAAAATCCTTAATTACTACAAATAGTAACAAAACATTTACACCGACAAAAAAGAAAACTTCTCGTATTCATCACTAATTTTTCAGTTTTTAGCCTTATTAAAATTTTGAGCACATGATTCAACTTCCTATGCCACTTTGATTTCTATACGCCAAATTTTACTGTTCAATATGAAATTATTGGAGATAAAAAAATCACCATATCAATATAAGTACTAAAACACGCATGGAACTATCAAGAAGAACATAGAAGCACAAGTGAGCACTAAAAAGATAACCTAAAATACCAACAAGACATGACTCCTCAGAAAGATCTGGACAAATCAGAATTAAGATCAAAAATGTTTGGACATCTAGACCAGTCATTAATCTTTTTTTTCTCCCAATATTCACCATTGAACACATGTATCAACGCGCCAGTTGCTTTATGCTGACTTTTCTTAAACCATAATGGTTTATATTCTTCAAATGGTTCTCCTGAAATTTGGAGGCACTATTTTTATTTCAATTTATGATTATCACAGCAAATTTGAATATTAGAAGATACTTGATTACTTGAAAATAATATAAAAATGGTTTTAGTAAACTATCGCTGGGCTGGATAGAAAATTTCACAAAAATTCACAACCGTTTAATCATGCAAAATGTTTAAAATCATTAAAATACGAGATCTGGAAAAAACTAAAGCATTATTTTTTTGTGCACATTTTGAAAAACAGATTAGTAGGGTACGAAAAAAATATTGTTATGTGCAAAATATTATTTTTATGTTTATTTCATGCAACCTTTCTCCATGGCCTTTTCAGCTAAGAGTTCTCGTTTTCGGCGAGTAGCACGTTGTTTTTCTTCGATTCTCACTTTCATTTCATTTGCTTCATCCCACTTCCCTTCTTCCATAAGTCGCTGATCAGGACGAAGTCTTGAATCAGTAGGAGCTACACCTTCTTCCGGTTCGTTCAGCTCTATTGCCAGTTTCGTAAAATAATACATTTTATCAGCATTTTCTCTGCAATCACGTTTTGTAAACTCAATAAAGAAAGAAAAATTACGATCAATTATAAAGTCAGTCTTACCAAATTTTACGTATGCAAGATACTCAAAAATAAGAAGTTTGTCAACCCAATTTGTGATAACATGTCTTTGATTTGTATATATTTCTTGAAGATTTCATTTGTTTCAAGTCTCCTCAAAAATTTACCCTACTGCTTAATATTTTCTACTTATCTATAACTGAATAATCATGCCTTTTCAATAACCTTTCTATGCAAAAGACATCTACTTAAAAATCGGAAAGTTCCGGCTATCTTCACCAAGATGCAATTTTTTCAATGTCAGTGCATTTTAAATCCGCATAAACCCACTATATTTTTAATTTCTATTAATTACATAACTTTCTTGAACCGTCTAATTGATTATTGCACTATAACCCGAATAAATGTGACAGATATCTATTGAAAAACTGTCAAAAGTATAGAGATATTAGATTTAAAAATAAAATACACGGAAGGATTGACTCCCCAAATACGATTTGGCGGAAGAGTCTCAAAACGTGCATTTCCACCAGTTCTGACTTCATTTGTGACTTTAAGAATATCCAAATAACAGTCCCAAATACCCTGGATAAGCCAGCAAACTTTTCCATCCGGATCTTTCACCAAACCGGCTACCTTCAACAATGTACAAAAAATTCAGCAAAATATTTAAATCTTTGTAAAGTTATATCTACTGAACTAGGAAAATTATAGTTATACCAATAAGTAGAAACCCATAATCGCATTAGATTCATATTAAATTTTTTGAAAATTTGATGTTTCTCATTTAAAGTGAGAGAAATAGACTTCATTTAGAAATCGCTTTTCAGCTTCATTTATTAATAATAAAGCCATTATAAAAAATTCATGAAAACATGCAGTAAATATTTTTTGCTTTCAAATCAGGAATTTATCCTTAAGCAATAGGGACTTGAAAAAAATGTACCTTTCGTGGCGGTTCACGTGAGAAATAGCTGTAAGGATGAAACTTTAACACACATTTATCACCAGTTTTATGATTTTCAATTTGCATTTCACCGTGGTTATCTATCCACAACTTTCCTACGATAATATTATGAACCGTAGTAGTCACTTTCTTATACGAATACTCATTTCCCGTGTTTAAAAACTGAAGAAAAAAAGCAATCAGTTATGATCTAATAGTTAAACGTTTTTTAAAATAAATTACAAATAAAATTATAAATAAAGTTCTGAAAACATAATATTATCACTTATTTCACCAATTTTTAAATTATTATAAGCGATGGACAGATAATTAAAAAGTTTTATTTCTGCCAATTACTGCAAAAACTCAGAACTTCAGTATACAGCATCGAAATTAACCTTAAGATAAGTGTAACCTGTAGGTGTTACCGACAAATACTTGCCGCGAAAACGTGACATCATTGAAAAATCCTGATTTAACTTCCATTTTCGCCCTTCAGCATGATGTGCTGTTACTGGTGGATGATGACTGACCTTAAAAATTTCTTAGAATAGCCACTATTTAGTAAACAAAATTTTCAAGACACCAAGTTTATCCTTGTCAGTAGCAATTTTAAAAAACCTGCTTTTTAACTGTCATTGATTCAAAGGATTTTAAAAATTTTGGAGTGTTTAAATAATTAGTAACCTACAGACGGATCATAATTCTTCTAGTTTCAAATATTCGAAGTTCAACAACAGGTTTTTGAAGAAATAAAGCCATGATAGCGATAATGAAATAAGTACTAATTATGAAAAGATATATCCTCTAATAAAACGAACTTTGTAATTAGTTTTTTTAATAAAACGAAGACGTGTATTGCTGTAGAAAATATAACTTATCTCTCCCTAACTATTTTTGCTATCAAATTCTGATATGAAAAATACACATACTTACCTGCTCTGCTAAAGAACGCCATCCAAGATCTACAAAACGATCACATTCAAATGTTTCACCCAATAAAGGATTAAAGGGTTTTGTAGTACGATAACCAGTCGTCGAGTACGCGCTTATTGCAAACGCTGCAACGAAGCACATCTGTTCCAAAGAACTGTCTTTCTCTGCTGCATCATCTAATAAATAAGAGTATTCGAGATCTTCCGAAATTCGTTGAAGAACAGAAAGTGGTTCATTAAAATTAACCTGTAATATAGAAATTGAGTACAATAAAATAGTTTTTTAGAAACTTTATAAATGATTACTCGAACGATCACTGCATCTGTTATAAAAGCAGATTAAATCAAGTAATATTTTACATAAAACATTTTTCTCTGCTACATCATCTAATAAATGGGAGTATCTAAGATTTTCTAAAATTCGATAAAGAAAACAAAGTGATTATAGTGTTATTTTAAAGTATTTTGAGAACAGCTTGTATGAAAACTATTTCAACTGATACAATTAAACAAAAAGTTCAAAATATGGCTAAATAACACTATAATTCCTTTTTTTTTAGTTGTAAATCAGCCCTTTGGCAATAACAGAACTTCTAGCAAACATGAGTTTGAAAAAATGAATGTTTAATTCGTCTGAGAGAATTGAATGAATAACTGTACATCAAAAAGTGTATATCTTTGCTTCAGATTTGAAAAAACAATAAAACAGATAAAAGGTTTTAAAAAAAAGGCTGACAGGCATGGGAATTTTGGTCAGCTCTTTACCGATGCAATTGCGCATAATCGACCATAAATTTAGAGAAATTTGTGGTCGTTCAGGAATTTTAGTGCGACGTTGCCGCAAGTGTTGAGTGCTTATTGCAGAACGAACAAATGTAGTTTCAGCCTTAAAATATTAGGGATAAGTTTTAAAAAACAAGCTGTACAAGAACTAGTTCATTATGATCAAATAATTTTCGAAGAATTACTTTGACTGATTCAGGATAAACAATTTCAGCATTGAATAACCTGGAATCAGCTGTCTCACATATGGATCCTGCTTGAGAAGAGACAGATTTCCTAAATGATAGACTGAAATGATATAATCTATTAAATTCAGAGCCAATTTCACGTTTGTAAAAACACATGGGTATGGTAATCAACAAATTATTGTTAAGATAACCTATCATCATTCACATCAAAAGCACAGTCACATGCATCATGGAATTCTTCTTCGGCATCCAGAAATGCTGCAAGAAGCTCATTATTAGCAATATAGACGAAAAGTATTTTCTTTCAATCTATTTTTGACGATATAAAGCTTCATAAAGCTATGAATGCTAAAAATAAAGCTTGATAAATTTAAGCCAGTGGAAAAATACAGAAGAAAAATATTTCTCAGTATTTTGAACAAAGTAATGCAATGTTTTTCCGATATAAAAATTTGACTATTATTAATCACACTTATCCTTCTTATTAAAATAAATAGTATTTTTATTATCAAAAAATTTAATAACGAGACAAAATAATTCAATTCTCGAACCAGAAAAGGAAATATTAAAAACCCCACGTGATTCTAAGGAAATACTGTTGGGATGCGCAGACTGATAGGCAACCTTCTCTAATTTTCTGTGCTGATGTGCAAGCTCTTCTAGCTGATCCTGCAGCCTAAGACGCTGTTCATGTTCGTTTGCTGCATAACGCCCTACTCTTTTCGATTCCTAAAATGACAACAAATTTTAATGAATCTTACAACGATTTTGAGTAACAAATTAGATGTTATTAATTCTTAGTTCAGTAAATTTATTAAGAATTATTTCAGGCCAAAAATCAGTAAGTTAATGCTTATTTCTAAAATAACTGAAAATAATTTATTACCTACAAAGTATACTATTTGTTAAGTGAATTCGACGTCAATTTTATCTCACCAACAGCGAATTAACCTAAGACAGCATGAAAATCAAAGCATTAAATGCCAAGAAAATACTTCCGGTACATCTTTCATGAATCACCCCTTTCTGTAACTAGCCTTGAAGCAAAACTCGTGTAGCTCATAATAATTCATAAAACAATTTGAATCAGTAGCCAACACGTTTTTGCACATTTATTTCATTTGTTGGTAGAAAAGGCAATTAAATTCCATCCTAATTCTTTATCACTAATAACAATCACATTGTAATTGAACTTCTAAAAGATGTCCTGAAAAGAATTTATAATTTTCACCACAGCTGTAAGAGTAACAAATTCTTCACAAGCTTTCATCATTGCAGCTGTTGTAATTTTGAACAAGTTGATGCGTTCGCCGACTGCTTTTACTGCATCAGTCTTCTCTAAGCTATTTAAAGCTTTTAGCAATTCAGATCCGTGTTTTGCTAAAACAAATTTTTATGAATAACACAAACATACAAGTGATCAATATTAAGTTATTGAAATTTATACTGAGTAACATCAAATATAAACAAGAGGTAACTTAATTAAATAATGAAGTTTTTTATAGATAATGAACAGGTATGTTAAAGACATAAACAAAAACAATGCAAAGAAGTAAAAGTTCTACACAAATAATACTGAGTTTGTATTTACGTCTTATAGATAAGCTTCAATATTAAAATGAGCAATATTTTAAGACAATGCAAACAAAAAAACGCAAAACAAACAAATGAGCGAGCTGCACGTTCTTAGATCCAGAATTTTCACAGCTATTGACTGATTCATTGTTTCTATCGCTGCAGCACCATGATTACTTGAGACATTCATCTTAATTTCTTCGTCTTCATCTATAAAAATAAAATTTAAATTTAAGCCATGATCAAACTGTTGAAAGTCATTGTCACTTATTAATTACTACTGTTATATATTACAAGGTAAATAAATTTTAGCATAATTGATATAAATGATATTTTCATACAAACCATTGATATTAGTCATAGCATCTATATCAATAATTATTGAGAAAAACATTTTCTCTTAGCATTTAAATGTCTCTCACAATGTTTGCCAACAACAAACAATGTTCTAAATCAAATAAAGTAATAAAGAGTGGATTGAAATTTCGAAAATAACCTTTTTCAAATAAGAGAAAGAAAAAAGAAACAGAAACAACAATTAGAAATAATAGCTATGGTTAAGAAAAATATCAAAAGCAAAAATGTAGAACCCTGAATTAAAAAAGTGAGAGAAAATGGATGAATCAACAAAAAACCTGATTCGGCGGCACGAACAGCACGATGACGAGCAAATTCCAAAGCACGAAACCATTTATCATAATCTAGCTCATTTTGCGCTTTTAAGTGAAAGGTTTGAGTAGGTGCAGAAACAGTTAAACTGTTAGTAAATTTGTCTACATGAATACAGGCTTCTTGTAAATTAATGCTACCGCGACATGACTGACCAACTTCTGATGAGTTTCTGAAAGACAAAAACAAAATTATGAAGCATTAAAGGAAATACAATGTATATTTAAAGACAAATATAAAAATTATAATAATTTTACATTTCCGGTTTAAATCGGCAGATGTTTAGTACATGAAAATTTATATTGCCTTTTCATATTTCATAGTAGTGCTGTCTGTGTATAAAAGAAATACAACATTTTTAGTGTTAACAAACTCAATTTTATCCTTTCTTCATAAATTTAGGCAAAAGTACAAAATCTAATGACCTATAACAATATTTACCTATTAAGAAAAATTGGATGAATTTGAAATCAATTTTGATTTTTTTAAATTATAATACTAGTTTGAAAAAATAAAAAACAAACATCACAAGTAAAACGAAAATATAAAAAAGTTGAAATATAAGCATATGAAAATAAGCATTTACGCTTTCAGTGCGTCAAAAATGTTAAATAAGCTAATACAACACTGAAACCAGTTTTGTGTTAGATATCTAAAATGGTTTTTTCGAAACCAGTATTCAAACTTTAATCTAGAGAAAGCATTAGAATGAAAACAACGTTAAAAAATTTCAACTAAGTAAAGTTTAGAAATGACTACCGTATAGACTTCTGATGTGAATAAAATATTAAATTCTCACTAGCCAACAATTATCTTGTATCAATTCGGTCACTATTTATTTGCCATATGCCATATGCACACAATTTTGTCCACATAGTACTAATATCTTCAACTACCGTTTATAGTTTTACTTGATAAAAGCTTTCACAAATTTTATGAGACTTTGCAAATTTCTAGCAAAAAAATAATCGACAAAAAATGGTCAAGAATAAAATTACGATCAAACTTGGCGTCTAGATTTTTCAAGATTTCCAAGCACAAGTATGAATTGTCAAACGAAAAAAGAGAAGACAAAATGAACAAATGAAATGAATAAATGCAAAAGCCTGAAAGATTTTTTAAAAAAATTAACGCCTGTAGAGAACGGTAAGAATACAAATTTGTACACGAATTTTTAAATTTAGTTTTGAAAGTGAGAATAAGGCATATATCAACTCCAAATAAAATTGTACTGCAAATATGGAGGATAAGCACAATAAAATATAGAAAAGTTAGGATTCCGTTAGGTTAATATTCAATCTTAAACGTAAACACCTGAAGAAAATGAAACACATACTATGAAGAACTAAGATCATACGCTTCAAAAAAAATCTAAATTAAAACAAAAATTAGAATATTTAAATAATTTTAAAAAAGTGAGCTAAATTTCAGGACTGAAAACCAAAGACAAAGATGTATTCAAAGATTTGCTAACAGAAAGCAACAAACATAATATAGATTTTGTTTTTTTTTTTCAAATGCTTCTTTGGTTTTTCGCAGCACTTATCTTTTATTCGCAGTTTCAAATAAAATGCGATGGAATCACCGACATTATCTGACCAGCTTCTCTGACTGCTTCAAACTAGTAACTGCAACCTCAACAGAAAAATAAAATAATTGAATTCCAACTTTTTGAAGCCACAAATTGCTTTTTTATTAACAGCAAATGATCCCTACAAAGTAGATTCTTCAGTTTTAAAAAAAAATTTTTTTGGCTAAGAACTGCTGTAAAGTATTTTTAATTTTAATATAATTATTGTATTTCAAAGAAACATTCACATTTATTTTTTTTAACCAATGAGTATAATCGGCAAAAATTATTCTGACTACAGCCAACCGTTTTTACATTTCTCTATTATTATTTTTGCTTATTTCATGAAGGAAATTATGGAACTGATCACATACAATATTTTAACATAACTTATTAACAACGTCAATTACTGATTAAAATAAGCGAATTAATGCCTACGTCAATTTTATCTCCTGTAACTTGAACAATGTAAATACTGATTGAAAAAATCAAGAAACAATTGAAAGTTGAATATTTACACTAAAATCCAACATATTTTCTTCATTGCTGTTTAATAAAGACTTATCTTCTTTGATTTTTAAGCACAAAAATTAAAGTATATGACTTGAACTAAACTATTCCTAGTTTAATACTAAATATCAATTTTTCAATGCAAATCTACCTCAATATTTGTTAACACACTTGACAAATATTTAAGTGCAACTGAATTTGAAAATTATTTCGTTTAATGTGTAATCTGACCTGTAGTAACTTAAATTAGCAGATGAATCAAGCACGAACCAACGCTGTCGATAACCTTTAATATAATTTGTCCATTTTAATAGCCAACCGTACTTCTCTTCTATCCCCAACAACTGTGCCGTGTGAGATATTTTTCGCTCACTGGACATTTATATATTTTCCATTGCAACCTATGCAATCCTGAAAGTAACTATAACAATTCTCACTATGTATACTATAGTTTAATAATAATTTAACTAAATAATATTAACAATTATACATTTATCTGCAATTCTTCTATTCTACACTGTCTTTGGATATTCAATTTTCACAAGATACCAAGTTTACAGACAAAAATGCAAAACTGATATCTAACTAATGAATGATTAAACTTGTAATTAACGCATAATGAATTATATAAAGCCTATAAAATATTTTAATAAATAAAGCAACAATATTAATCGCTTATTGAAATACAGATCAGATATACCGTTACACAAGAGACAAAAAAATATTGGAAGTTTACGGGTAAATGAGTAGAAGAGCATCGCAGCACACTTATTTGAAAATATAAATAAAAAAACCTACGTGTTAAAAGTAATGCAACTGCATTCATGCAAGCAGGCAGAAAAATACGAACAAACTGGATGTAAACAAATTACAATAAAGTGATTAGCACACTTTTATACACTTTTTTCTTCAACTTCCAAATAAAAGTAACAGAATGTTTAAGCATCATTATAATAGCAAGGAAAACATTTACAAATATACAAGTCTGAAAGTCAAAAAAGGAAAACTTTGCAGCAATAAATTTGACTATTCTTCGGATATTAAACGAGTTTAGACTTTAAAAAATGATTTCACAAATGAAATTCAATCGGATTATGCAAAAAAAAAATGAAAAAAAATATTATAAGCGAATAATAATTCTAAAAACAGCTAATGAACGAAGATTTAATTCGCGTTGCAAGCATGCAACATTTCATTGCATTATGCAACAATGCATTGAATAGACATTACTGATTTTAAAAGTCAAAGTAAGTGATTGAAATTAGTGCATAGCAAGTAACTTACTAAAAGAATTTTGGAGGGAATAACATTTTTCAATATTTTTGTGTTCAGTTCATTTTTCAAATACCATAAGATATGTATATTATTGCAATTAGATTATAAGTGCCCACATGCGACAAGCAACTCTTTACTTTTATTTTATCACTAGAATTGCATGTTAGTATGTCCAGTAAAAATTTTTCCGTTCAAATTGAAAACAAGAATTAATATTTTAGAAAAAAAATATCGCAACTAAAGGTTAGACGATAAAACTGCGCGATGGATAAAAGTAATTGTTTTAAAACGAAGAAGATTTGGAAAATACTTCTACAAAACTGACAAATTTCATTTTTCATTCTCGAACAATTACACTTTTACCGAATTGTTTTAAAAGAATATCATTGCATTTGCAGTGCAATAAAATGTCTAACTTGTTCGAAAACGAGAAATCTATGAAATTTTGTAAGTTTTGTAGAAATATTTTTCATTTTGAAACAATTACTTCTATGCATCGTGCAGTTTTATCGTCTAACCTTTGATTGCGATAGAAAATTGCTAGCATAAATCGATCAGTAATTCAAAACAAAAGTTACTTAAAGTTATGTATTTGTTATGTTAATACTATGAAAAGCATTAATCTTCAGAGAACAGAACAAATTGATATACGCGCAAAGTGAATTATATTTTTTATAAATTTTATTTTAATAAAATTATTTTTCAAAATAAAAACTATAAACTATATTCATTTATGTAGTTATTTTATTAGCAGTTATCTTTTATGTTTAAAAAATTTGCTTTAGAGACTTTCGATTTATTTCATTGCCAAAATATTCAATGCTGTCATTTACAATATCAAAAAATTACGCAGAAAGCAGCAATTAAATTCAGAAAATTCGATAAACTTTAGAATACACACTTGAGAATAAATGCTCCACTGAATTGCGTTGTGTATCTGCACGTAACTGATCACACACACAACGTTTGTACGTAATGTTAGTAAATAATTTAAGTTTTTTAAAAATATTTATAGTTTTTAATTATAATTATATTAATTGTTATTAATTTCAAGTATTGTGTATAAATTTGTAAGTATTAAAATGCTAATCGTAAGAGAAACTATAAAAATTTAAGCAAAACTTGCTTAGCACTAAAGTTGTTTCATTTTAATGGTCAGGTTGTAGTTCAAAATCACAGCATCGATTTCATGCAAATAGAAGATTATTCCAAATTCGGTATCTTATTGTAAATATAAAAAACGATGTTAAACAGACATGACCAATGCAGTGGACATTCAAAATTAGAAAAAAATTTAAAATTAGTAAAAAATATAAAAATTTTAAGAAAATCGAATGACAAGAAATTACCCTTACATGCATATAATGTTCAATTAATCATGATTATAATGTCTTTTATTTAGTACAACATAATCATTTGCTAGAATAGTAATATAAGTGTAGGGCATTTCTTCAAGCAAAAATTCGATACAAAGTTTAAGCTTGTAATCTATCAAAAAAACAGCTACTAATTTATATTTCAAACATAAATTGATTACCTTATATTTTGCAAAATTTGTAAAATTAATGATTAAAAATTAATAATCAGCAATTCAAGTTATTAATTTAAATTGAACAATTATTTCAAACAAATGATTATTAATGATTTAATTAGTCTGCGAAATATGAAATGAATTCATACATCATTTTTTATTCTTACTAATTAGCTTTCGAATTTAGTAATTTGTAACAAATATGCGTGGAACACTTAAAGACAGAAGTTTGCATAAATTTTTTCAATAAATTTCCAAAACAGTTTGTATAACTTATCAAAATTTGTTGATTATCAAATATATGCCAAAAATAGCAACAAAAGTGATTGTGATACTGATATCAAGAGTAATCACTAAATGATTGAAATTGATATGCTTGAGAAATGAGCCAAAGTGATATTAATGAAAATTTAGCTGAGGTGTTAAATAACATTCAAAAATCATAAGTTTGATAGATGGTCCATGTCAGACATACTTTGCAAGGTCATAGCAAGTACATAAAATATTGCATATTTGTTGTATGCTTTTTACGACTTCAAAAAATACGATTTTTTTATTCCAAACAAATTGCTCACAAGTGAAAAAATTTTTTCTTTTCTGTTGTTTAACACACAAAAAATAATTTTCTTTGCTACCAATCAAATTAGTTTAATTAATTTTATTGTTTAAAATTAGTTTAATTAATTTTATTGTTTACAAACAATTTAAATTTTTTAGCATAATCAAATTGATAGAAATTCATATCAAATGAAAAATTATAACAGATTTTAGTGATTTGCATATCTGTACTATGTCTCAATAATGATTAAATTAGCTTAGCTCTACATTAAATAATAAAGTTTGTGATCAGTTATTCTGCTCATCTAAATTAATTGTGACATTTCAACCTGTTTGGGGTTCTGATCACAATTTAGATTCAAATTTTTGACAGAAATATATTATTGATGATTTATTTCATGTGTTTATTTTAGTGAATTTTGGAACATTCTTAATTTTGGGAAATTTGGAAAAATCGAAACTTGACAGCAAATGCATTGATAAATGAATTTTAATGCTCGTTTTGATAAAATTTATTCATTTATTTTTTGATTACTAAATTAAGTTAAATTAGTTGTCAGTTTGTTTTCAAGTTTTAATTTCTGTCGAAAAAGTTTTGGAGCAAATTTAAAAGTGATTTTATGCAAATTTTATTTCATGTTTAAACTACTGCGATCAAAAAAGTTATTATTATTATTTTTTCAGTTACTGAATAAATTCATTCATATTTGCTATGCAATGTCGTATTTGTCTCAAATTGAAATTTGAAATTTGTAAAAGATAAAACTAAAAATTTGGAAGGATAATTTTTCTTCTAAAAAAATGTGTCTAGCAGAAGAAATTTTACAGCTCGTTTTGCAATGAATAATTTAATGTCATTTTTTATTTGTTCCCATATTTAATAAACTTGATTAGTGCAAAAATATTCATCACTTTTCTGAATATCAATTTTTAGTAGCTAAATAATTTATTCTTATTATCGAAATGAATAAATTATTCAAAATTAATAAGCTAGAAAATTGTTTTTGCATATTGAAGAATAGCTATTGTATTTTTTTAATCTGAGTAATTTGAGTATTATCATAAGTATTATTTTCAATATTGCATGCAAAGTTTTCTTATTGCAATCATATATTTGTTCAAAAAATTAAAATTAATTATGTGTTTTCATTGTATTTACTTTTTTGACATTGTGTTCAAAGTCGTTTTCATCAAAAAATAATTTATTAATTTTCAAAGAATAAAAAAAAAGCGAAACTTTTAGTAATTTGTAAATGGTGCAAAATTGTTATTTATAAACCAAATATTACTTTTTGGTTTATGAATATTTTAATTTGCAAATTTTTCCATAGATTTGTTGTATTAAATTTTCAGTTATTAAAAATGCTCTTTTTTTCCAACTGATTCACTCAAAATATCCTACTGTTTAAATCCATTTTGGAGATTTGATCTTGTTTTAGTTACAACTTTTGTATGCAATTTTTTAAATTTGACTCGCAATATCAGCAAAATTTATTATAATTTTACGTCAAATTAATTTACAAATAATTATGCAAAGACTCGTTGAGTGCAATTACTTTCAAACTTTTGAAACTAAAATTGACTTGAGCACATTTTTCGCAGTTCAGTATGGAAGATCGTTGGTAAGCATACTAAGATGTTGTGCCAGTCTGAAAGAAAGTATGAAAAGAGTTCGAATGATTATTAAGTTTGATTTTTTGATTTTGATTAGCATTTTTGTATGCTTGTTTGCAATGTATTTGAATACTCATTGTGAGAAACAAAGAGTAAATTAGCATTTTTGTTAAACGTAATTTTTCAAGATGGCTACAAATGATGCATGCCATCACACCCATACGTTAACGCAAAGAGATAGATGAGTGTGCATGCGTCTGTGTGTGCGTATATGGGTATGTGTACATCTTCCTTCTTATTTATAGAAGTATGTATTACTTCAACAGCCGTGTATCAACACTACTGCTACTATCTTGTTTCTTACTTTTTTTTGTGTAAAATTTAATTTTCTCTCAATCAATTTTTCAAAAAAAAAACCCATCAGATTACGTAGAAGTAATGCGTTTTCGGCAATTTCTGGATGACTGTAGAAGAGATGTGACAAACGCATGGAAAAGTATGAATAACAAATCAGGTACGTGCTTTTTTTCATCTCAAATAAACTTTACAGTAACAAACTCCTTAAATTAGCATTTTTCACACTGTAAACTTTACAGTAACAAACTCCTTAAATTAGCATTTTTCACACTATAAACTTTACAGTAACAAACTCCTTAAATTAGCATTTTTCACACTCTTTTAGCGCAAAACTTTTATTTTTGCCATTATATTTCTGCATTTGTATGCTTAATTTTCAGAGCATTGATTGAGCATTTATTGAAGTAAAAACTATCATAATTACTTGAAGTAAACAAGTATTTTGTATTAAAATAAGACATTATTTCCAATTTTTTGCATGGAATAGGCACAACTGACATGATAATTTAGGCACAACATGGTGCTTTTCTACACGGTAATCGTTATTAAAGCTCAATTTTTGCAAGTCTAAAACGAATTGATATCTTTCGATATTATGTAAAAGAAATTAATTAATCAGATATGTTAAGTAATGCTAAGAAAGTGATTTTGTTATAATCGAAAAAATTGTGTTAATTACTGATGTACAGTACGGACTCAATGACAGTTATAATTAATATATTGTTTTTGTATTAGTTATGATTGTCATGGATTGTGATTTTGTATTACTTATTAATTATTTAATTACTACTTTAATTAGTAAGTATAACAAAAAATAATAATATTTACATCCTACTTTGACTACTTTCTAATAAAAAATTTTAAATGCTCTATTTAAACAAATTCTAAAAAGCATTTTTAAACAGTTAGCTAACACTCCGCGCTTCAGTGATTATTTCGACACTAATACTTATTAAAAAATAAAATTTATGAAGTGAATTCGTTTCTTTTTTGAGGTGATTGATTCTATGCTCACATTTTGATAACCTTTTTAAGCATAAAATTTTTTAATCAGTACTTTTGTAAGTTACAATCTTTTGCTTTACAATTTTCTGCAATTTGTATTTATTCTAAAAATTGCTATCAAAAAATTGTACATTTTTTAATCATCAAATTTATATTTATAAGAAATTTTCCACTTTTTACAAATTGAAACATTAATGCTTATTTTTTTTACATAGAAGTAAAATTTGAATGGCCACTAAACTGTCCAATGGAAGTACGAGAACTTGTTGGTCCCGAAAGGTTCGATGCACAAGACTCAAAATTTATGATGCCATTTTTCTGGAAAAAAAATCCTGTACCAGCAGTTTGTTCATGGTATTTTTTCATTTTTTGTTTGCTAAATCTATGATAACACACTAAGAGTATTTACAAATAAATGATATTAAAATTATAAGCTCAGTAAGAAAGAATTTTTACTCATTCAGCACTGCAATTCAACAATAAGCAGTAGTAGCTTACTGCTTATTGTTGAATTGCAGTGCTGAATCTTATACAATATATCATCATTTTATCATATTTTTCAGCAAAAATGAACAGAATATGCAAATTAATTTGAACTGCTAAATTTGATCCACACTTATTCATAGGGGCATAGTTGTTTGCGCTATCGAATGGGGCTTTGGAGTTGCATTGCTGTTGCTTAATTCGTTGCATTACATTATTATACTTTGTAGTATGACAAATGGAACAATTGCGACAGTTGTATGCATTATAACATTCCTACAATTAAGCGTATTTTTTAGCCAAAAAGTAAAATATTTATAAAATTTGTCAGTAGTGAATAAACTGCAATTTATATATTTGCCACTCAATGATTTCTTATACTTAAAGGAAATTAGCACTCCAACAGAGTAAATCCATAACGTTTCATTTCCGTTCTTAAATAAATTGATGAAATTTTGTGTAAAAAATTGAATACACAATAATTGCACATTAATAGACTCTCAGATGTATCACTCCTTCGAGATAAAACAGAAATCTAAGCCATAATTCATAATATGTTGATTCATGATTTGATGCGGCATCTGCAATAAAGTGAATATTTTCATTTTGGAAAATTAAGCTTCTCAATATCCTAACATCAGTAATCGTAGCTAACTTCTATTTTGAACTCTCATTATGAAAAAAACTAATCCAGTTATATGAGATTACGATTACAGTTGTTAGTGCATTAGAAAATGTAGTGTGAATGAATTGAAAGAGAACATTTTGAATAAATGTGATCTGTTTAATGAGATCATTACAAGTCTGATAGTTTGTAGATTAATTTTTAGGTATTATTCGCTATTGCTATCGTAGAAAAACACGTATTTTTGCTTAAACAACAAATGATATTCCAATATGTTACTTGCGTTTTTCTCTTACTTAACGCTGTTTTCACTTTATCTGCGGATTTTGGCGGATATAACGAACAATATTTATTCGGCGAAAATGATCCGTTATTTATTCGTTTAGCAGCACTTATTTCTATTATCTTTATTATTGTCGAACTTTATCTACGGCTAATGACCAAAGCAGTTTATACATTTATGAATGAATCTAAACGATTTCGGTAAAGTTTAATTATCTAAACAATTTTGATTTTTTCTTCTTGATAGAATAAAGCTCTATAAAAACTTAGGCACTTGGTATTGTACGTACAGTTGAAAACTGACTAATTTTCTGAAACTAAACTACTCTTAACTTGCATACTTATAAAAGAATATAACAGTGCTAATTATTTAAAATGATTATTTATGCATTATAACATTCCTACAATTAAGCGTATTTTTTTGGCCAAAAAGTAGAATATTTATGAAGTTTGTCAGTATTAAATAAACTGCAATTTATATATTTTTCACTAAATGAGTCAGTATTAACATCTCATTGTGAAGGTCAGAGAAAAGTTTAACCTATATTAGAATGAAAAAATCAATTTGAATTTCATCATACTTCAAAAAGTAGGTGAATTGATCAGTTGTGAAATTAATAGTTTTATACAGATCGAATAATCTAGATTGTTGTAGAACACACTTCTAAAAATTCAATAAAAACTTGTATAATGCATTACTGTAGTGATGCCTTGATTAATTCACGATGGCGTTATCGTAAACGGGTATATTTTTCATATTGTTCAATAATGCAGCGGAGCTTATCCACATTAACCAAATTAGAAGTAAGCAAATGTTTTCTTTTTGCTTTTTAATTTCCAAAATGCACAGACGAAATACTCATTAAAATGTAAAGCGAAATGTAGAATGTTACACAAATCAGAGTTTGTGACAATTTTGTTAAGAAATCAACTAAATATCACTGTTTTAGCAAGAAAACAAATCGAAAGAAGCACGGATGGACAAAAAATTAGTCTCGACATTGTCTGATCAGTCCGACAAGAGAAATGTAACTTTTCTCTATCAATTCTTCGAGGATACTATAAATAACAGCTAATACTTGGTTCTATATAGTACGACTAGACTTGTATAAATGATAAGCTTACTATGCTCGTGGGTTAGAAACACAAATAGCAAAATTCGTCTCCTCCTTTGTTTCAAACTCCCTATGTTAGGCATATTTCAGCAAAAGTTATTGAGTACAATTTCTTATCTTCTTCTTTGTGCCAAGTAAAAATACTTGAAATGTTTCAGGTTGTTGACAAAAGTTGCCAAACCATGGGCAGAATGAAGTTTCTTCGAAGGTGTGTGTATATGCATACATACATATATACATGTGTGCGTATTTCCACTAATTCAGAGTGAATTTTAATTTAAAAAGCTCCAAAAATCAGGGAATATATGGATATAATTTGAGAAGAAGAGGTTATTAGATATCACAATAAATATTTCTTCAAATTAAGGATAAATCGAAATGTAAAACTCAGTTTCAAAATATGAAAGTAAACCTTCGGTAATGAAAAAAGAACTTATTTAAAACACACTCCCATTTTTTACCACTTGAAGGTCATCAAAAAATCGCTATAAACGATATGATGGGCTCTCCCCGTACCAAAGACGGAAGTTAGTTAAATGCGCTCAAAATCAATCTTATAATAAACGAAAAGGCATAGCCTTCTTGGGCAACAGCGACAATTGTGGAATGGAATTTTACATTCATATGCGTCTGAATCCAAGATGCATTCGGACTTCCCTTTCAGGTATTTCCGAGGAAGTAACAGTCCCATTATTCCACACACGCCGCACATAACAGAACCGAGCTCAATGTTGAAGTTGCTGATCTATTTGTTAGCAGTCCTCATTGTATCTGTTGTATGTAACGATTTTAACGGGAAATAATAAATACTCTTCGAATTACTGATTCAAGTTATAAGGGAATCATTCTTAACAAGAAAGTACTTACCAAGCAGTCAGCTGGCTACATGCTGGACAAAGTCCGAACCGTAAGCCGTCCATCAAATTCCAAGCACTACAACGTACACTACGATGAACAATGCCAATCAACTTTTGTAGTAAAAGTTGCACACATATCCACAGTCCCCCCTCCCTCTCAAGATTCACTTCCGGCACTTCTCTCTACCAAGTGATTGTACTGTCATTTTATTTTTTTCTCTACTGAAAGAGCTAAGTGACAATTGCAAGGCTGTAGACTTCAATTTTCAATCTGTGTATCACCACCTTCAAGATTTGAATGGACATATAACAAAATAATGAATTATAAAGAAATTGAAACAGGAACTATTGCGCAACATTCAAAATAAAAAAGCGATTAAACTTGTTAAAAAAATAGACATCACTATGTCTTCAATATAATGGAGATGGTAGAAGACAGAAGTGATCCGCTTTCTATTTCATTATTAGCAAGGTTTGAAAAACCTAAATGTATAAATAAGATTGAAAATAGTGTGAATAATTGGACCAAAATCAAAAACGACTTCCATTTATGCATAATAGGTTGGCTAAAACCACTAAATACACAGCAAGTATCTGGGCTCAAAATGGCATATATCCAAGTTTATATTACCAAGAATATCTGAAACGAAATAAATTGAATAAGTGACTGATTTTTACCGACGAAAGGGACTAAAAAATAATTTTAACAGATTTAGAGTAAAACCAAACTGTCCGCACTAAACAAGTATAAATATCACAAATACTGAAATTTTATATCCAAGCAAAATCGTCTTTACACCTTTAACACCTTTTTTCTCTTAGTTATTAAAAAATTAATCCCAATAAACCACACAAGTTGCGCACGAGGGGGAGAATTAACAAACTAATACTAGAACAGTAACATGCAGCACATGACGAGAGTAGAAAATCCTACAGTAAGTTAGTAACAGCAAGGAATGGTATCCAGTTTTCCATCACACTTCTAAACAGTTTCCTAAAAGCATTTAACATTTATTTCCACGTTATCATAATTCTTTGTGCTACCTCCAGCAGATCGACAGGGAGAGGACTTCAAACACAGGAATGCCAACCGAATTTAAATATTTTAAAGAAATTTTCAGCTGATTTAAACTTATTTATGAACAAAAAATAATACAATGGACCTAACTTCAATTTATAGCAGGTGCCCATTAAATTAACTTTGCTCGCAGAACATTCTGAATATTTTGGTATATCTCATAACTTATAAGTGACGAGATTATGAATGTATACAGAAATTTTAAGATCTATTCTTCAACTGATTGCTCAACCAGTCAAGCCCTTCATATAGACCGTCTCCAGATGTTGCACAAGTTGCTTGTATATACCAGTTACGATTGCGAAGCGTGTGCAAACCAAGCTTATCAGTCACTTCCGCTGCATTCATTGCATTCGGCAAGTCCTGAAACATCCCAGTGATAAAAAGTACTCAAGAAACTTGATTTTGCTCCACAGCTTTCTTCTAGGAAAAAATTGAATGTCCTTTCCATTAATGTAAATAGTTGATGCTTGACGAATAATCCAACATAACAGCAGAACTAACGAGCACATAACAAGCCTTAACAAGAAATTGCTCTTTAAAAACAATCTACTTGTACTCACGATCCTATATTTCTTATCCTAACAACTCCAATCAAGTTCAATACCCTTATAATATGGATTAGGAAAGTAAAAAATTACTTGTTTGTTCGCAAAAACAAGCAACACTGCGTCTCGCAATTCATCTTCAGCTAACATTCGCATCAATTCTTCTCGAGCTTCCCCTACCCGCTCACGGTCATTGCTATCGACAACAAAGATGAGACCTGAAAAAAAAAATTTTCGAGTTCAATTACTTTCAACTCAATTATCTCAATTTCAGATTTTATGCAATAATACAGTTTTAAAGATGAAATTTTAAATATAGTGACATTAAATAAACTCACCCTGAGTATTTTGAAAATAATGTCTCCATAAAGGCCGTATCTTGTCTTGACCTCCAACATCCCACACCGTGAATGATATATTCTTATATTCCACTGTTTCAACATTAAATCCTAGAACACAATATTCAATTCTATTTCCCCATGATTGCGAGACCTGACACGATTTGAGTGTGTCTCATTATCTATTCTAAACTGCTTTCACTAGAAATTTTGTACTAACTCAAACAGCATTCGAGATCAATCATACACTGAGATTTCAGAGAGCAATTATTACCCAACATTCTCTTTATACATGAGTATTGGCTGCCAAATCAAACACTGAAATCACCTCGCATAACAGTACTCTTGCACTAAAATTTAAATTTATGAATTACCAATAGTAGGAATTGTTGTAACAATTTCACCAAGTTTCAATTTGTACAGAATAGTAGTTTTGCCAGCTGCATCCAAACCAACCATTAAGATCCGCATTTCCTAAAAATAGTTCTTATTAATCAATTCATAGTAAAAGTCTCGTGGAAGACACCCATAAACAATGGTTTTTATCTGCAAAATTAAAGAATAGATAAAAATAGTGAAAACTCTATATATTAATAAGAGAAAACTTTCCATAGCTTAACATTCTAACTCACATCCAATCATAAACTCATCTTAAATTACGACGAGAAATGTTTTACCTTTTTGCCGAAGAGGCCTTTGAAAAGATTGGTGAAAATGTTCCCCATCTTCTAATTATATAATTTTTCTTTTAATGATACACGCTTCGTATTCAGAAGCTGAAAAGCAGTAATTAGATGTTACAATAACAACATAATAACGCAAAATTAGATATCACAGATTTTATCGTTTTTCTCAGCAAACATATATTCACATAGTTTTTGATATCGATACAATGGAAACTGCAAACATGAAAAAAACAAAATCTTGAAGTAACCCTCCAACTCAAAACTCAGAATCATCTAATTCCATCAAAATTTGTCTCATGAGCAGCACCAATAATCTGATTATTTACATAAGAGTTAATTGCAATTTAGTCTTAATTTACTGCGCATAATTTTTGATGACAGTCGTAATTACAGCAACTGAAAACTGTCTTCATAAAGTAACAATTAAGACACAAAATTAACGGAAAAAATAGTCCTCCTCATACATAAATTATTTTATTAGATCAATTATAAATGTTAACTCTAGAAAACTATCATTTCTCCATACCAACTCGAGTAATATTGATCCAGATATGGAAAATAATTTGAAAATACGCAAAGAACCAGATGGTTAACTGCTCAAGCAGCAACTGTACTTTTCATATCAATCTATGCACATTAAATTTATTGTAAATCTAAATTACTAAGTACAACTAAGAACCTAACGTGATTAACTACTGTTTCCTTTAAAACAGCATACCTAGTAATCTCTATTGAAATTTTACTTCAAGTGTAGACTACCAATGATTAGGGTAATTAAGCAGAGTTGAAAAAAAACAGTAAATTAATTAATGAAAGTAAACAAAACTTTCGCTGCATCAAAAAAAGAAGAACATTAAGAAGTAAATATGAAAAAACTAAATGAATTAAGAACAAAGAATTTAGCATAGACTATCAACTAAAAATTGGACCAATGTTAATAATTGAAAACCAAATACCAAAGAACTTTAATAAAGCGAAACACTAAAATACGGTTAGAAAAACTTGCCACACGCCACCTGCCACATCACGACGCTCCTTCAATGCAAATCACATATCGATCCCTCATCACAATTCAACTTCATTTGTAAACGTCGAACAGACGATATACAGAGGTTAGAACGTTTTGCAATCTTTCATTCCCTGACTAGATTTTATATGTAAGATTGTAAATCCTTACTTGTGATTGGGTTGGCTATGATATTACTTTTGTAGCAGCCTTCAAATATGTGAGGTTCGCATATTCTATTATTACTTTTTAAAATTACTGTGTGCCTTTGCTTTAATGCTTGCTTACTAAATGTGCTTTCCGCAGTCGTGCCTAAAATTATATGATGAAGTAATAATTAATAATTGTTACTGATTGATGATATTATTTCCAAAAAATTTTTCAAATGATTGCACGTTGAAAGTTATCATGATGATGAATTTATATGTTATGCACGTACAAGAACTGTATTTTTAACCTTATTTTTGATAGACTTGCTCATTTAGGATTCCCTTGTGACTGCAGTACATTGAATGTTAAAGGACAAATTTACTATTGTGATTGATAAATGATTATTTGAAAATAACCAAATTGTCAAGTTTTTATTTTTCTGGTGATTAATACAAAGTAAGGCATGTATTTTGAAATCCATATTATTAGAATACTGTTATTAGCTTCAAAAATATGCCAGTATCATGATGTGATGAGGATTGCACATCTTTTTCAGACATATAAAAATGGCAAAGTCAGGAATTCGTTTGCATGAAGTGGAAGAAATGAGTGATGAAAGGGCTTTAATGCATAGTCGCAGCAAATATGTTCGATTTGAAGAAGCCTATCAAAAAGAAATACAGTTATATGAAGATGATAATGAAAAAATCACTCAGAAAAGTTATAATTCAAAGCATACCCTGGATAGTGATGAAGAGGAAGAAATAAAATATGACAAATTAGATATGAACAAGGCTTGTTTTTGTCTTTTTATTTTTTGTTTCGGATATGTTCGATAGTTGTATAATTAGATACACAAATATGCAGCAGACAACGGAAATTTGGAATTATGCACTAATTATCAACAAAAATATCGAAATAGAAAAGTGTAATTAACTATAGCAACAGAATTTGACTAATATTTTTTCTGTGAAATCTAAACTGCTTCATAGAATGGTTTTTATCTAAACTTAAGCTTTTTTATTCCCGTCAAGAAATTTATGTCATCTGTATGATGTAATAACTTAGTAGCTATGTAATAATGAAGTATAATTCTCCTTCGTAGTTTATTTTTCGAGATAAAGGCGAAGATATTGCAGGTTGAAGGACAAGAAGAACCAGGTCGAGAGTATGAAGGTGATACCAAAATTACAGCTTTCAATATGCATGAAGACATGGAAGATGGGCACTTTGATACTTATGGAAATTTTATTTTTGATAAAGTATGTTTAATTAAATTTTTTCTTGTGGTATATATTTTTTTCTAAAGCCAGTTGATTTTAGTTTTGCATTGTTTGCAAACTGCAAAAATGAAAATTGACATCTACCTTTTTAGAAACAAGATGAGATAAAAGATGCTTGGTTGGATAATATTGACTGGACGAACGTAAAAGCGAATGCTGGTGATCAATGGCAGCAGAAAAATGTATGGTTCTGATTCATGGTTTGAAAATACATTTCATTTGAATGGCTGTGTTGTATTTCATTGTCTCAGAATTTTTTTACACTTAAAGTTTTTTTTTCCCATTAAATTAAGTTTCAAAATTTTTGCCATAACTATGTTTAAAAAAATACGATTAGAATCGTAGGAACTAATTAATTCTCCCTATACTTTTCGTTTTGATATATTTGATATAAGGTTTTATTAAGCTTAACAACTTCCTTTTTAATGTTTATAAAATATGATTTTACGTAGGAGGAAGACAACTCAACTACAAAAAATATCGACCATATGGAACTTAAACACATATACAAACGTATTGCAAGTCTGCTAAAAAAAAATGAAACGATTGAACGGGCTCTATCAAGATTTGGAAAGCAGAAAGGCTAGTTTTCATGGAATATGTATTTCATTTTATTAATTTGGAAAATAGTTTTTGTCTCCTATATTTACACTCTCTTCTGTAATGCACGGTTACAATTTATTTCGAAGTTCTGCTGTGAGCTTATCAACTTTTTTCTCATCATTCGCTTTAGGTTTAAGTGCTGCAGAAGAAAGGAAGAAAAGGTGGGCCGCCAAAAAAGCAGGCACTACATACGTTGATGAAGGTGACATTGCACTAAAAGAACTGACGGGTTTAACAGATTCTTTAGTGTCAAATGGTGAATTTGAAGCTTATCAATATACACTTGAAAGACTCGAATATATGATTCGAGAATTAGAACATAAGGCTGTTGATGTGTTGGATATCTTTTCAAATGAACCAGTGTCTTCCTCATTTAAAGGTTGTTTTTCTGTTGAAATTGTTGTATTTTTGGATATTTTAAACATAGTTTCCTACTATTATAATGTATTAAATTGCTGCTAAAACTGTACAGAAATCTGTAGTTATTATGTAGGTTTCTATATGTGCAGTCGTGTATAATTTTTTTAGTGTCCGAGAATTAAAAATTGCATAATAATTCTTTAAGAAATATTTTGGGGACTAATTGATTGATTTTGTTGCATGTATTTGTCGTATTCACAAAAGTTCGACAAATCATGTTGTGGTGCTTTGGCAAAATTTAGAAGCAGAGCATGGATAGTTTAAAATAAATCGGCATCAATAATTTGTTGACACATTTCAATTAGTTTGAAAGCTTTGTTCCTCTTAGCTTATTTTTAAAATTCATTTTGGTTATGTAAGGAAAGATGTCCATAAGAAAATATCTTTATCAAATCATTTTTCAAAGAGTGGAAATACTGGAGTACTTTTTCTTATCTCAACTATTTAAAGTGACCAATCCTACCGAACATATATTATCATTTGATCTTCGAATTCGTAGTGATTGCTGAATTGAATATTTTATCTTTTCACTAAACTCGATTAATTTTTATGATCTTTTGTGAAATCAAACTTTTTCCTTAACAGGGAATATCCATTCTATCTTTTTTATTATCATGGATGTCGAAATTACTTTCATGTGATTTGCATCACAGTGTGATGTAATTTTACAGCATTACCGTTAGCTGCAGTAAATATTTTTATTAAAGGAAAACATGTTATCGTAGTTCTTTTGACGTGAATAAACTATTTTCTGCTAGAACTATTTTTTGTACTATGGTTTCAAATTGATTTTTCTATATCTTTTTGTCACTCTCAGTATCAAAAATTTTTTAGCTGCAACAAGAAATAAGGAAGACAATATAATACCAGAAAATGTAGTAATGTGGGAATACAAATTGTCAGATGATCAAAATGCGGAAATTTTTGGTCCAGTTTCTAGTAAAGAAATGATCAAGTTACAAAACGAAGGTAAGTTTGATAATGGCGGTTGGGCTCGGAAAAAAGACACGCAAGCATTCTACACTCTCGCAAGGCTGGATTTCGAAATCTACATTTAAGTTGAAAGTGGTTATTTTTGTGTCATTGCGGCTTGTATTAGTGCTTGTTGATTTGTCTTATGAAATACTTGTGGAATTTTCGATCATTTGTTCATAATTTTAATTAGTGAAGTACTTGTTTAACCATATAAAACATGTTGCTGGCTTGCATTAAATTTTAACTTGAAGTGGAAATGATTGTATTTGAAGCTGCTATTGTATTTATTGTACTTTTTTCTGATGATTACAATCAGTGTGAAATAAATTTTTCTGTATTTACTAAAGTTCGTAATTTTATTTTCTGTAGCTATTCATACAGAGTTTCGTGTCCTTTACCTGGGAAAGTATGGATTTTTGCCTTGTATTCTATTTTACAACCATGTCTCGGTAATTTTATTAATTCCAGTGGGATATTGATTTATTTTTCCGAAAGTATTAGAGACTGTAGGTAGATGGATATTTCGTACTAAGGTCGGATGCAGTAAACAATATTGGATATGGGCATACTTACTTAATAGATTAGTAATTCTGTGCATATATTTCCTTTGTAGCATCCGCAAGTGTAAGCAGCCAGTGAAAAGATGAAATTGTCACCAGCACAGCAAGGTTTAATTCGAAATATGGTCAATGTTTTCCGAATCTGCGTCCAGTGGGGTAGCGTCCCCTTTATTGTTTATTTAGGTATTTTTTTTCTAATTTCCCAAGTTTAGTAGGCAGGAATTAAAAAACTTGTGGTGTTGGGGAGTTAAAATTCGAAAATTTCAGTGTTTGGACTAGTGTTATTATTATCTGTGGAGTATAGAAGTGTTTGAATTCTGTAGACCTCTAAACGTAAAATTTTGAAATGTGGAGATGCAAACTTATTGCAAATGTGATCAAAGATATTTCGGTTCAAAATCCAAACTTTTAGGATTTCGACATGGAGCAGATCGTCATCCGAATGGTGAAGTGGTGCCACTATCATTCACTGGTCTTTTTTACGGATAAATTCTAGCAAGTCTGGTATCCGCAAACTTTTTATTCATTCTAAGTGTCGTGTAATGACGTAATTTTCATTTCGACTTACAAATTAGCACTACTTTTAATCATTCAATTTATACGCCCTCACGTCTGTTACTTTTAGAATATATTCAAATTTCGTAATACTATTTGCAAAGTGCTGAGTAAACAAAATGAGACACTGATGTCACAGGAATTTTTGAGCACCGCTGTTGATACTAAAATTATGTCATATTTGATGAATAAAGAAATTATTGTGGAGTTCGTTGCATTGTGAAAGGTTATATGCTAATGAATGTATTTCTGGAATTTTATTTGAATAAAAGACAAACAATAATAGTGTCTGGGATGGAACTTTCAAGGAAAATTAGCATCTGGGTCGAGTATGATGAAAGAGATGAATTTTTCTTTAACGGAGGTAGGTGGAAGGTGGTGGTTATGGTACTAAATGTCAGTCGAGTTGAGCTTGGTTGGGCGATCCGTATAAACATTACTTTCGGGGTTATACTGATCTATAAAGTAATGTATAAGATTATCTCGTGTTAATTCGTGATTAATGTGCATCATTGTGAGATACGAAGTTTCATAATTTGGGTTATTGAAACATGGTTCTTAGAAACGGCGTATATGTGCTATGTACTGTTATTTTGTTCTCAAATTGCGAAAGATTGTGATTAACTTACTAAGGCTCATACTGCTTTTTTCTAATTTCGCTGTAAAACTTGGGGGCACATTCAATAACATGGAGATGTATTAGAATGTGCGCCCTGAGTTTACGAAATTATTTTTTCAGAAATAACATTGCACATTACTTTTCAGATTAGTGTAATTTCGAGGGCTATAGATTTTACAGAAAGTGGATTCGATGCAAGACGAGGATCAGGAGTTATTCTCTTTGATACCTGATGAGATTTTAACGATATTTACCGATAAGCTTGCATTCAAACAGTTCACATCAGTTCAGGTATTTATTTAAAACTTGCCAGCATAATTTCATTTGACTGCAGCATTCGATTGTTTCATATATGTCTAATAATACCCTTTGAAGATAAAATGTTTGTCAACTGCTTTATTATTGCGCCGAAATATTAAATTGAAATCAAAATTAAATTTCGAAAAAAAACTAGTACACTTCCTGTTTCTTCAGCGATTTTGACCTATCCACATATTGTGTTACAAATGTATTGTTAGTGATCTTTATTATTTGCTTTTCACCATTTATCAGTTCCATCATTTCATATTAAACTGTTGGATTTAGTTTTCTATTCTCTAGCTAAATATTTAAAGCAAGTGGCCTTCTGCTATGCATTCTATTGTTTTGTCATCCTTTTTTTTTAATTATTAAGTAGTGTTTTTTTCATTTCTGTCTATAGTATAAGCCAGTATAAGTTTCCGGGCCGATTCTGCAATTTTGATTATCTTAAAACTTGCCTTGCAGTAATCACAGGGTTTTTTTATTGCCGAAAAATGCGCGAGCACACCGATCATCGTTGGGGTGATTATTATTTGTCAGGTGGTCGTAAGGGCAAAAAAGCATGGGCTTTAGAATTAATTCATACAATTAATCAAATGATACCTACCTTCAATGAATTATTTGATGAGGTGAGCTCTGACTAAAGATATTTAAATTTATTATAAAAATGTCGTTTATTGTAAAGTTTATAAATATCACTGCATATTTTTTAATTTTTCAAAAATAAAACCTTATTCGTACATGCCTAATGATCACTGTGTACTAGTCATAAATTTCTGAGAATGGTTGAATGATGAAGGAAAAGCTCACTGGTTCTGAAACAATTTGCTCAATTTCTTTCAAATCTATTTCTGTTTGTTTAAATGATTCATTATTATTATTTAGGAGACATTCTATGTGTTTGCAATTATCGTCGTCGTATCGTCTTTTCTTATTGCATTTTTCTTGGCTAAAGTGGTTGGTGTAAGACTTCGCGAATATCCATTAAATGTGGATCGTGAGTGGCGTAATGCAGAGCCTGCAAATCCTTTTCGTTTTCCATGGAATAAAGATAGTGATTGACTTGATTCATTAAAAAAATGGAAAAAATTCTTATCAAAAAATTTTGAATTCAAAGTGTTTTAAACCAATAAATCCATTTTTAATTTCACATTGAAGTAGGTGATGGTCAGGATGATTTACTTTTGAAGAGACAAAATTTTGTCGGAAAGTTACAGTGAGCATATTTAAAAATGTAAGTGTTAATCATAAAACTGATATTAAGAAATCTAAGATACATTGCATCTCTTCATTTTTTTAATCAAAAACAAGTATAATTTCGGATTTTGTTCAACATTTTAGATGTGCTGTTTAATCAATAGAATGCGTAAAATTCAAGTCTTATATTTTCTTTGCTTCACTTTTATTCTATATATTAGGGTTCGCTAAATCTGAATGAAGCAAGTTGATGCAGTTTTCTGATTCTGCTTAAATTTTGTACACTTATTTGTGCATTTCTGAACAGTTTTTTGTTTCGTAAGGTTCAACAGGAAGTGTCTATTCAAAATATATACAATCAGTTTTCGTATATAACTAATATATGTGACAGGTTTCATTTACTTTTTATCGAAAATGGGTATGATATTTTAGAAACAAGGATAAAGCAGATTTAAAAAATGAGCTAGAACCTTTAGGATGCAGATATATTATTTTTCCGAAGTTTCTTTTATTCATTTTTGTGTCTGTTTCCGATTTTCATAAAAATTTGTATTACTGTTTCTGTTTCATATACTTCGTAGATAATGATTAGAAGGTCGTAGAAGGTTATTATGTAATTTTAAATATTAAGCTGGCGTTTTTTTCATGATAGTTTTTTTGCTTTTCGCTATTTCAAAAAAGAATTTGTATTTTTTTGCAGTCTTTCATAAAAATTTAGTTGTAATGAGAGATACTGCATTTGAATGATTAATTTAGTTTGAATTTTGGAATTAATAAATTGATGTATTCCCTTGTAAACATAGTTCAGATTTGATGCATCAAAGAAAAAATGACTTCAGGTAATTGCATACTACATAATGTAAATAAATACCTCATTAGCAGAACAAAGGCTAGGTGGATGTATCATATTTCGATATATTAAGGGAGGAATTTCAGAAACAGGTTATTAAACGATTGCTGAAATATGAAGATGTCATTGTACAAGCACCAACTGGTTCAGGAAAAACCCTAGCATACGTATTGCCAGTCTTCACCATTTTACGAAAGAAAAATGTGAAAATTTTTAGTTTTGAAGTGCCTTATTTTAATATACTGCAGAATTGGAATATATAATTTCCATTATGCACATTAATAATGAAGCAGAGGATATATTGAAACGTTCAAGTGCATACCATTTTTCAGGCTTGGTTAGAACGTGAAGTGGGTGCTCTGATTATTGTTCCAAGTCGAGAATTAGCTAAACAAGTTGGTTCGGTTTGTAAACCGTTTGCAGATGCGTTATCATTTAGTATGCATGTGATGATTGGTGGAAAAAAAGGGAAACAGGATTTGAAAAGTTGCAAGTTTTTAAAGTATGCTTATTAATATATTGCTTTATTTGCATTAATTGTGACAAATTATTTTGTAATTCCTTGGAAAAAGGCTTCTGCTTGTTTTTGTAAATATGTAAAATTAGAAAATTTTTATTTTCTCATTAAATTTGCTTTGATAATACTATTTACTTTGACTTCCTATATTTTGTACGTATCTATCTTAAAATGTGTTTTCTTTCATGCTAAATTATTTTGGCTCGAAACTTACTAAATATTTCTAAAACTTTCTTAAGATTTTTCAGTGCCACATTGATAATAGCTACACCTGGAAGGTTGCAATCAGTAATTTCAACTAACGCAGATTTTAAAAAAGCTTTAAAATCTCTTGAGATATTGATTATTGATGAAGCTGATCGATACGAAGATACAAGCTTCAAATCTAAGTGAGCATGCATTTTTCCTAAAGTGATTTCATGACTAATTTATGCAGCTGTTATTGACATTTATAGCAGCGTTTGTATTGCATCAAATTGGAAAGTTATTTCAGCATAACAGAAATTCTAGAATCTTTTCCTAAGCAAAGGCGTACTGGTTTGTTCTCTGCAACACAAGCTAAGGAAGTGGGAGATGTAGTCAAGTTTGGTTTGAGGTTTGTTTTGCGGTGTTTTTGAAGTCATACAAGTAAACAAATATCAAAAATTGATCAAACTATATGAATGAACCAATTGCAGAAATCCTGTGCAAATTACGCTCTCTAATACTGGTTTGGCAGTTGATTCAGTAGATATAGTGTCACCTAAAACATTGAATAACTATTACATGGTACAAATTTTTTTGCTGTTTCTGCGAAAATTAAATTTTTAAAATTTCCAAAAATACATTTACTAATTGATCTTGAACTAGATATTTATGTACTGCGGCGAATGAGAAGGTAAATTTAGTTTAAAATACACAGTCTTATTCTGATTCATATTATAGAAGTTGTTCATCAATTTTCATGACACTGAAGAATCTTTTTAATTATGTTAGAAATTAAATCTGTACTAATACTCGTTTAAAACAGTTTGGTTTCTGTATACAGATAGTTGAAGCAGACAAAAAGTTGCATTCGCTGATAGAATTTATTCGAAATCATCAAAAGTCGAAAATCCTAATTTTTTTTTCGACTTGTCAGTGTGTTGAATATATGCAAATTGTACTGAAGCATTTCATTCAACAGCGACAAATATTTGCTCTGCATGGAAGGAAGAAAAAGAAAGTGGAGAATGAGGTTTATATTTCTAATTTTAGCTTCGTTTTTTTCTGAGTGTGCTGGCTTGAAAATTTGTTATTCTTACGCTTAAAAAATATAACTAGTCAAGATTAAAATTAGTACTTGCTATAGCATTTGTAAGAAAGGTCTTGAACTCTGTACATTTAAATTTTACATTATTTTTGAGTTGGAAAATTTTCGAAAGATTGGGAAATCTTTGATGCTGTGCACGGATGTGCTTTCTCGAGGTGTTGATGTTAACAACATCGATTGGGTTGTGCAGTTTGATATACCGAAACAAACGAGGTTATTTTTAATTTTAAAATGGTTTATGTCAACCAAACGACTCATTTTCTTTTCATCTAAATATGTCTAGAAAAGTTCTAGTTGGATTAGAGTAAATCATTTTCTACCTACTAAATTTTTCATGAAGTGCTTGTTAAAAATCTGGATCTCATAAAGTCTAAATAATTCTTGAAATCAACAAAAGTTTGTGATTTAGTGATCACAGGTTAGCCATATGAATACCGGTAATATGTATATAAAGCAGATATTGTCAGGATGTAAGAAAATAAAGGGAGTTAAACAAATAATGGTGTACGCGTATTTTGCTGGTCCGTATTACATCTATATTTGAAACATTTCATACTTTTCAACAGCTCTATAAAGTAACTTTGATAGATTTCTGTTAATCAAAGAGATGATATATTTTAAGGATGAGAGTTTTATTTCAGCTGGTTTGTTCATCGTGCAGGTCGAAGTGGGCGCTGTGGAAGAGAGGGAAATAATGTATTATTTATTACACCAGAAGAAACGGCCTATATTGATTTTATTCAAAATTATGAAAAAGTTATACTGACAAAAATGAAGACAAATTGGAAGACAGATAGCGATGGGGCAGAACAGATGAGACAAGAACTTGTTAAACTGGCTTCAAGCGAGAGGTATTGTGCTTTTGTGGATATCTTTTAGTTGACATGAAGTATTTGTCTGGAATAAGTTAACTAGGTGAAAACTTTTTAATCTGACTTTCATCAAGTTACAATTTCATTTAGTAGCATATATATGTTATGGCAAATTAGTAACTGTTTTTCATAAATAACAAGTAATGATAATTATTGTAATGACAAGTAATGATTATGTCTTTATGGAATTGAGGCTTGGTGGAAATGAGTGTCTTGTAAATAAGTTAATGAGAAAGTTAGAAGTCACAACCGACAAATGCAACTAACTTCTAATATGGAAAGTTTAGAGAAATCCTGGAAAGTGGTACCAGAGCATTTATGTCATTCGTTGAATCTTATGTGCATCACGATTGCAACGTAGTATGTTCATACAAAGGTTTGAAAAATTGCTTCTGAATAATACTCTCATAATTCTTGTTGGTAATGAATTCGAAGAATCAAACTTTGAGGAAGTAAAATTTCAATGCTGACATAGAAATTTCAGATCTTAATATCACCGGTTATGGACATACTTATGGATTGCTACGTCTTCCACGTATGAAAGAATTCCGTCAGAAAGACTTAAGTGATTTTAGACGTTCAAATCTTGATACAGCTAAAATACCGTATAAAAATGTCCATAAAGAGAGGCGAAGACAAGAGAGACTATCACAGGGAAAGCAAGAAAAAAAGCATCTTGTGAAGGTATGTGGTAACCTTACACCTTACGATAGAGAAACTCCCATCTAGTTAATAAAGTTACAAAAAAATCCAATGTCCAATCGTGAAATGCCTACAAATTTGTGAAATTCCACTTTGTTATATTAAAAAAAGCTTTGTAGAGTGAATCCGCATAAAATTTATCTAGAGTCATGTATTTTGGTGTTTGAATTTTTCAATGTTCTGTATTCTCTTCAGAATGACGAAGTATCATTGGAGGCCATCTCTAAAAACATGTCGACTGATAACGTGAAGCTAAAAAAATTTTCAAAAAAACGGCGATATTGCGAAATTAAAGAGGACAACGATAACTTTGGTTCTGATTTCGCGTTGCTGAAGAAGATGAAAAAAGGAAGACTAAAGAAAAAAGAATTTGATGAATTGATGGCTGGTTCTTCCTAGTTACTTTGATTATCTATAAGTAATCTGCTACATGATTAAAGAAAGACATCACATTGTACTGGCACTAGCAAGAGAATTGTGACCCACATACCAAACACAACAGTATCTAGATTATTTTATTTGCGGCATCACGGATGTATGGAAATAAAATCACCACAAATTCATACATGGTATCAGAGCTCGACTGCTGTGAGTTTTGTGAAGTGTGAGCGACTACATGGAATTACAAAATTGAGTGCATGAATATGAAAATTTTCACCTCTTAGCAACATAATTCATCTTTTCAGTATAACGTAGTTGCAGTTTGCAATGCTGAAGCGTAATCATATCCAACTTGCAACGTTCTGTACTGTCAGAAAATAAGAAGTTAAGCAATAACAGATCACTGCCAGTGCGCTGGTTATTAAGTTTTAATTATAGTCATAGTCGTATAAATGAATTTCATTAGCATGTAATGGAACTTAGAACGACAATCAGAAGAGCAGAGAAGCATTGTGATTAGTTGCGATAAAGGCGAATAATGGCAATAATTGGAATAAAAAAAAAAGAATACCAAAAATAGAATTTTAATATAAAGAGATGAAGCATCCATAAAATGCCGAATCTTCTTTTTGAAGTATAGAACGTCAATCTAATTAAAAAAAAAAGTCAGCTACTAACAAACTGAAGACCGTCAAGTAAGTGACTCATATATTTCGCATCAATTTTAAAATATAATGAAGTAATGCCTTGAAATAATACACAATACAAAAATTTCTAGTCCATGGTAGAATAGAGTTACAGAAGCAAACACTGGAAAGAGCTTTTAGGTCGGAATGGATTCATCTTGTCATTCGGGAAGCCGGTTAAGAGTACGTCATCTTTTTGCCATTCCTGCGCATACCTGAAACACCGAAAAAACACAAGTGAACTTTACTTGTTATTCAATAGGATTATCTGTTACATTAATAATGAAAGTGGAAATTTGATAACTACTTAAATTTGCTACATAGTTTTATCCAACAATTACCATATTAAAAAATTATAAATAGTTATAGCAGTGTATTCAAAATGGAATATATTTAGAAAAGTTAAAAAATTCAAAGAAGCATTATTCCGATTAGTTACGCAATACTGATATAAGGTGAAAATCAATGAGTGGCAAATATAATGTCGCTTTTATCCACAGCATCATAACATCTATAAATTGCTGGTACAAAAGAATTGCAGGAAATACGAAACAAAAGCCACTTGTATAGGAATCTTGATTTTATGCACTTCTACAATTGCATCTAATGAAAAATTACGAGACGCAATTGTTTAAAATATCCATTCTTGCATTTCTGTTTCTTATACACTGGAACGCAAATATTTAATTCTATATACCAAGCACTGATTGTTAGAAAGCACTAATTATCCTACCTTGAAATACAAAATACTGAAGGTGTCTAAACCATTCTTACAAAAATAACAAACCGCATTAAGTCATTAGCCGTTTGAGAGATCGTTGACCGACGCACATTACGTTCTCGACGCAGTTGTTCTACAACATTGCGTGCTTGCTGTACTGAATGAACATCTCTAGAACTCATCACTTTCGTTTATGTTGATTTACGATTCCTAAAAAAATCAACATCAGTAGATCAGATTAATGATTACATAAAAAATTATGGCTGATGCATTCGGAAAGGTGGATAAAACCTTGAATATAGATAACGATGACGTAAGTCAACGCAGAATATTTCACAATCATTAAGTGATGAGTGATTATTGAGTCAACATTGCAAGCAAATGTTGAAAAACTTAAAAGCCCATCAAGTTATATCCGCAAAGTTCAAGAACTGAAAAATCAATAACCCTCACACTAACACCTCACAGTTGGAGTCACATATTCGAAAAGTTTAATAACTGAAAGCAATGATGTCAGTTTTTAATATTTTTGCCGTTAAATCCTGTCGCTAAGACTTCAGTTTTAATTAGTTTTTTTCCTATGTTAGAAGTCATTTGACGTGGGGATTTCTGTACGTGGCGCTTTCATTTGACGGTAGAGCCATTTATTCTTTAAAGGATTTGGATGTTATATATTTTAGGAGATGCTAGATATTGAAGAAGATTTTCCCCGCGAAAATTTGTCAAGGGTTGAAAAAAATAAGAATTATAAAAAGAAATATGAGAGAACGGAAAAGGTTAATCTTTCATGTTTTTAAATTAATGTTTAAATCACGCATTTTTTTGCAAAATTTTCATGAAAATAGTGGTTATAATATGTTCAGTATTTCTGTAATATCATCGTTATAAGTACTTTCAGAAGCAAAGAAGCCCGTCAAAATCAGATTATGAAGATGTGTGGAAACGTCCTATTACTGCTGAGTTGTTGACGGAGGGAGTGCTTGGATTAGGTGTTATTAATCGAGTAATTTTCTTTAAATTCAAAATTTTGTTTTTTGATTTAGCTCTGGTTCACATTCTTTCATAGACTTCACAGTAAAGTTTTTGACGTTTCTAATTTTTTGTTCAGATTAAAGAGACCGAAATACTGTTGGAATGTTCAAATGGTGTGATTGTTGTGGCACCAATCACAAATTTTGGCAGCGCATTGATAGAAACACTTCAGAATTCATCTTTAGAATTAGAAAACGTTTTCCAAGTTGGTCAGATGCTGGCATTCAAAGTTATGAAACCGAGACATAGCGGTTTGTATTTATTTCTGACAAATCTATATCATTGCTGTCAGAAACACATTTTAAAAGATATAATAATGAATGTAAAATATTTTTCTATATTAAAAAATTTTCATTGAAATCGTTTGAGGTGCTAGGCCAAAATCACTGTTTAATTGATATCTTTATCCTTTCTTGACAGAATTAGATTCCTGTTGTAAGTAAATATTGTATGCTTTCAGGTTCTTTACGGGAACCGGGGAAAAATTCATATCCTATTGTTTGTTGTGATCCATTAATCGTGAATTTTCATCTTAATCCGGGCAACTTAATCAATGGTCTTGTACTAAATGGTTCTGTGGATAGTATCGAAGATAAAGGTGTAAATTAAAATGTGACATCTTATATCTCATTTTTTATGAATGCATCTTTTCAAAGTTCATGAGGTGTATTTTCAGGTGTCATTATTAATCTTGGATTGCAGTCAGTCGAATTAAAAGGATTTTTGCCAGAGAAAAATTTACCACCAAGTTTTCAGAAAGAAAGTTTGCTTAGAGGACAGTTGTTATTATTACGAGTAGAGCATGAAAGCTCATCCAAGGTGTGTTTGTGAATGATAAATTGAATTGTAAGGAAGTTCAGTAATCAGCATAATGTTTGTGACTTAAAAAACGAAAGTAATACTTTCTAGAATATGCGTGTTGTAAACTTGTCGGGGATTCCGGAACTGGACACTTTAAGTGATGTAGCTGTTCAGAACCTAAAGCTAAATGATTTAATGCCTGGAACTATACTTTGGGCCCAACCTCTAAAATTAGTTGCTAGAGGTGTTTATGTGGACATTGGAAATGGTTTGTTAGTTTCCATCTTTGCATAAACGAGAAAACGTATTCGTCGTGGTGTTTTTTCCATTAAACTAGCAGTAGTTTCACTGTTATTTCTAATCTAATTATCTTTATTCCTGTATTTGAGATAACCTTCCATATGAACATTGATTACCATTTGATGATATGATAATTCTGTTTTTCTAGAGCACCGTTGTTATAATTCAGTATATGTATACTTATACATCTAAACTTTCAGAAAAAAGAGCATTGTGAAAAATGGCCATGCTTTTTTCAGTTGTAAAGGTAAACTTGAATTGTAAAGCATTTTTTGATTTTTATGCAACGTAGAATGAGATTTAGGAATAAGAGGATTTGTTAGCAACCTGCATTCGCCTCCAAGATATCATGCTGATGCATCCAAATGTTTAAAACCTTTCCGAGTTGTTGTTATGCTTTGTCAACAAAACAGTAACTTGGTGGCATTTAATGGACAACCAGATATTGTCGCAATTAGTAGATTTACGAAACGCATTAATTTTGAAGTATATCAGTTTTCATTCAATTAGTTTTGATATTTGCTCTGAAACGAATTTGTTTTCTATAAATTTTTTCTAAATCTATTTATAGACGTATCTTAACGTCATATTAAAAACTATGAGTGAAATAGTGAAACTGGAGATTTCAAAATATCTCTAATATTTTAGCTCTAATATTGTTGTGGAGTTACGAAAAATTATAGTCACATTAACTTTTAAAAAGAATATATTTCCCTTATTTTTGTGCTAAAAAAAAAGTGAAGAATGCGGAATTTCAGGGCATTCGTATTGGTGATATAATTAACTGCAAAGTGACGGATTGTAATAAAAATGGAAGTGTCAATTTCAGTTTAATGTTGGGAGATGGAAGCAAAAATTCACTTAAAGCATTTGCAACAAATACTAGACTTGAAGGTATTTACAGCTCATTTTCACACTCTACGTTGAGTTATAAAAGTGAAAATTGAAGTTCTAAATATCTTTTAGTACCAAAATTTTTGTTAGAAAATATTGTAATAATTCATTTGTCAGTCATGTGCAGTAACGATTGCATATCATCGTGAAGTATAACGCGATTAAGATTAGCATATATCTTTTAAAGTACTAATGTAATAATGATACTTAATGTACACAATTACTTGCAGCAGTTTGTTGTGGTCCATTCCTATTTTTTACTAAATGCTTTCGACAAGTGCTACAATTTAAGCAGTTGCTAGAAAAATCTTTTAGTGTTTTTAGATCAAAACATTTCAGATGGTACTATTTACAAAACTGGAACAGTGCATCAAGCACGTGTTTTATCGTATAAGATGGTTGAACGAGTTTTAATTGTCACGACACGAAAAGATATTCTAGCCCAAAAAATGGTCAGCGTAAAAGTAAGGTTTTCTCATTCAGTTCACTCAAGTTATTTTTCTCTGTCATATCCTCTAAATAAATGACATGTTTTTTGTCTTTTTTATAGGATTCTACTGTGGGTGAAAGAATTACTGGGAAGGTGATATCTGTATCGTCAAAAGGGTTGTATGTCAAAGTTTACGACACAATTCATGGTTTCATACCTAAAATTCAACTTTCTGACAAACTGATTACACAAATCAACAAGCACTTTTTCGTTGGTTAGATTTTCTGTCGAAATTTTTTCGAAGCACTCGTAGCTTGTTTTATTCAAAAAAATATTTTTTCACTTTTGCCATCATGAAATGTTATTTTTGTTTTTGTTTTAACCTGCCATAAATTTATTGATAGTTTCAAACTGCTCTATCTTTTATCTTGAGTTATATTTTTTAACTACTGAAAAAGTTGAGAATTATATATGTGATTTATTTAGTGGCTACAGGACCTTAGCCATTAGGCATGATAACTTCATTATCAAATTTACCTTAAAACTTAACGAATAAAGACTTGCAGAAAGGCTTAGTTATGTTAATCAAGAGAAATTTTGTCAGAGCTTTCTGTTTCCAGTAAATTATTGTAGCATAACAGTTTTCATGATGTCCTACTGATAACTTTAGGTGATGAAATCAAGTGTCGTATTTTAAGCCTAGACAGGCTAAAAACACGATTAATCCTGACTAGCAAAGAATCTCTCATCACAAGTAGCGATGCGATCATCAAAAGTTATATTGAAGTCAGCCCTGGCATGGTGTCAATGGGGTACGTTACTTGTTTGCATCCAAGTGGAGGGCTCATAATGGGTTTTTATGGTGGGACCCGAGCATTTATGTTTCCGAAGGAAGTAGAGCGACTGGGAACAAACATAAAGTTAGTAAAATACTGCCAATAGAGTATTATATTATTTTCTAGTAAATTTTCGTTCATTTTATTCTGATACGAATTAATTCTTTTATTTTGCTTAGAAATTAAAAAAGATATTTGAAGCTCAAAGTATATTAAATTTTTGAGGACTTCATATCGTATTACTCTGAATATTTGTTTAAAGAATTGGTTTGACTGTTCGCATTCGTGTAGTTAGTGTTGATCCACAAAATGAGCGAATGCTCGTTGCAGTAGCAGATGAATTTAGTGATAAAAACAGATCAGTGAAGGCACAGGTTTGTTTTATTTTAACTGAAAGTTCACTTGATTTGATTTTCCCAGACTACAGTTAATTATTGATAATAATGTGAAAGAAAGTCACGTATAAATTTAAGAAACCAGTATTTTCAATTGCTATCTATTTTCAGTGTTTGATTATGGTAAAACCAAGCAGCAAAATTTTTAAAAGGAATTATACTAGTCTTTTATATACCGAAAGTTTTTTTAGTTTCAATTTCTGTGCTTTAGCCATTTATATTTGAAAAAGAAGATCCAGTTTCTTTTATGGCAGTAGTTAACGGTTTTACGTCAATGGGCAGGAGCTGCAAATTTCAAGAAATGTTGAATGTTGTTCTACGATTGAAGAAAAAGATGGTTGGTAATATTTAGCCCACTTGACTGCAAAACGGGCTTTTGTTAGGTATTTGAGGATATCTGCTTGTTCAAATAATCATAATATGAGTCGTTCATTATTCAGTTTTCTATTTTAATATTTAATTCCTTATATCAGACAGAAATTCAGGTTTATTTGATTGTAGGGAGGAAAGGTTGAAGCAACAATTTCGAAGGAGCTTTTAAGTGATTGTCTTGAGTTACCATTTTCTTCGCTAAGCGAAAACATTGCCCTTGGAAGTATATTGCCAAAAGTTGCTGTGTTGGGTGTTGTTGCTGGAAATCTCAAGGTTTGTTATTTTTGACCTGATCTTTTTATTATTATTCTTCTTCCCAAGATTTTTGTGTATTTATTTGATTAGTGATCAGAATTTTTAAATATTACTATGAAAAGATTTATTTTACACTGTTCTAATAGTTGAAACAATTGCTACAACAATCTTACAGTCGATCAAAGTGAATAAAATATTATTCCGAATTTTTTCAAGATCACGACTAAACGTTTTATGATCGAATGGTTAGAATCTCACGAGCGTATTACTAGTATTGAAATGCTCATGAAAGGCAAACTCGTTTGTGGAAGCGTTGTTAGGAAGCATCCAGAGATAGGATATTTTGTAGAATTAGCAGGTGGCTCAGCACTTACCGCTCCAGCTCGTTTTGTAAGACCAGAAGCATTATCGCTGTCATTGCGTATGTTTTTTCTATAAAATCATGTTTAATATTTCCGTTGTTATCCGTAACTTGGATGTTCATACCATTATACAACATCAAGTAGTTTTTAAACTAATGTAATGTTGATATTGCAGAACAGCTTCAAATTGGTCAAACTGTTGTAGCACGTGTGTCATCCGTTGATGTAGATAGAAAACGTTTTGCTTTAATTCTAGATGTAAGTTCATCGTCATATCATATCTGTTGTACAAATTTTGTATTTAGATGGTAAAAAGACAATTTAACTCTATAGTTTTGTATTTTATTATTACCAGTGGGTGGCTTTGTGGTGATAAAATATTACGATCGTTACTCATATCTATAAAACTGTATTTGCATGTGCTTTTCAGCCTAAGTTTTGCGTACCATCTAATTCTGAACCTGATTACTTTGCCCCTTCATTGATGCGCTGTGCATTAGAGGAACTGAACTGGTTCGCAGCAAATAATCCCAGCAAATTTGATGTGCCGAGAATCGGATCCTGCATTGATGTAAATATTACAGACTTTTCGGAGAATTCTATCAATATTCAAGTGGTTGGTTCAGGTATCAAAGGAGCAGCTGTCAATAATTCTACCGATATGCTGAAGGTAATCAAATCACAATCGATTATAACAACTAAGAATCGTTTTCCAATAATATTTATAGCAGTGATTCATATGATATTGGGTGGTAATTCAAATGTCAGGCATAAGGAAAATCATTGCATTGTGTTATAAAATTATCGTATGTTCATTGCACATAAGTTTTGTAGGTTCTCTCAAACGAATTTCAAAAGGGGAGCCGTTCGCAAGCACTTGTTTTGGATATAAAATTTCCAAGTTTCGAGGTGGATGTTCTGCTTCTCAAAAATGGTTTTCAAAATATGGATGAGGTAGTCGTTTAAGATTGTGCTCGTTATTGCTTTTTTGTTAAACGAAGTTCAGTTGTTAGGAAGGAACTCCTAACATTACTTTTTTTAGAATTAAATTTACCTATTTATTACTTCTGTTAGCGAATTTACAGAAATTCAAATGTTTCGTTGTATTTTGATTCAATTCAATATTTTTATTTCAAGTTTTTTTATTCCTGAAGTTTTAAAAGTGAGTGTAGCGCTATGTCAGATGTAAAATTTCACCCACCAGTAATGATACCAACAACTTGTGAATCATCATTCTCCTTGCAGGAAAAATTAAAGTCGATATTACGTTGTCAAAAGATATTAGATGCGACCGTATGGTTGAGAAAGAAGGAATATATTGTTGCCACAGTAAAATTTGAAAACTTTATTTTTGTTACTTGCATTCCACGGAGATTACATCCCAATTTAGATGTTATACCCGAAAAACCAGGTAAGCTTCAAGTTTTTCAGACTATTTTCATCAGTAAAATCACTTTTCAAGTCGTGTGTTTCAGCGATTTGAATGTCATATAAAAAATTATGGTTATCATTACTGAGAAAAAATCAGCAATTAAAACAGATATAAATGTAAATAAGATCTGGTTCGGAACGATGCTGCTATATCTGAAAATATTTGCAGATGAGAATAGAAACTTTTGCACTATTGTTCCTAAATTAGTCTTTGGAGATGTCATGATTGGAACTGCAGTGAACATGTCTGAGATAAATCAGTTAAACAAGAAACAAATCAAGGTATATCGCTGATGTTATTGTTAATAGGACTAAAAAATGTTTACATTTAATGAAATCAATCTATTTCTATGTCAAAACTATGCTTACTTAATTTAGATTGTATTACAGGTCCAAAAAAAAACGACTGTGAAGAAAAAGTTGAAACAGTTCTGGATATATAAAGCGAAGGTCGTAGGAATTTGGTCCAAAGAGGGTAAATCTCACAGTTCAGTTGAGCTGGAACTCCCTGGTGGTACTCTCGGTAAGAATTTTGTTTATCCTATGATTATTGTAATTTCGTGTGTAAATATATTGTGTGATGGATTAAAAGTAAGTTTCAGGTCGATTGCATGCATCTGAATTTGATGATAGTTTCTTAAATCAAAGTTCTCAGCCTGTACAATCTTTTTTAAAAAAGATGAAGGGGAAAGTGATCAACATTAAAATTATGTTTTTCTCAAAAGTAAGGGAAAAAATGAAGAAGAAAAGCCATTTGGAAACTAAAGAAGATGATTCAGCTAAAGAGAAGAAAATTACAATCGTATGCATTATTTTCAACTTCAATATTTCGTTTTAAGTTAATGCAGCAAGATATGCCGCACTCGAATGCAGGTTCACAGAAAAAAAAAAGTTTCATACTTTTGTTTCTGTAAATCAATTTCCATATTCAAATTTTTTTTGTACCAGATTCCATATATATCTTTTTAAATCTTTAAAGTCAAGCAAACCTAGAAGTATATTTTTGCATATACCCACAGTCATTATATATGCATAATTATTGCAGATGCTAATTTTTTAACGCAGTTTAAGATTTAGATTCAAATTTATAAGGCATATTGTTTTGAAGCTAATAAATATTTCAAGGCAACACGTATAGCGGAGTGTACGATGAAGATGTGGAAATTAAATGAAACGAAAAAGAAACAGTCATTATTGGGCTATCCTAAGACTTATACTTATGGCTCATTAATTCCTGTATTTGTATGTGAAGGACCACATTTAGGAGTAGTTAAAGTTGAAGCTAGTCCGCTTTGGAATGGGGTTATTCGAAAGCAGAATTTAACAGATGAAAATTTGGTATATTTTACTCTATTTATTTTTGTCAAACTCTTATTATTGACCTATATCAAATTTTTAAATTTCTGTATAGAATATATGAAACTGATGAACTGATTTCGCACTGTAAAAATATGTCAGGCTGAAAATAAAATTTAGATATCCAATCCAGCCAATGAAACTTCAGCATTAATTGATATCGACTTTGAACCTGGAGAGAAATTAATTGCGCAAGTTATTGGGATAAATGTTTTTAAAAAAAGAAGTGGCAGATCCAGACATCGAAAATGTTTGGAATTAACTTTGAAAGAAACTAGAAAGGTTAATTTTTTAACTTCTTTTCGTCGCAAAAGAATATGGAGAAAGTTAAAATCTTGATTGCATTCTCGTCATACATTTTTTTTTCACCAAAATTTTCAGGTATTTGAGGAAGGTGATGTTGTCATAGGGCGGATTGTAGGCATTACGCAGTCACCAACCACTATAATTTTCGAGCTCCCGAATAATCAGCGAGCTGTTCTCACCTTGACGAGTATTACAGATTGCTATCTTAAAGCTTTTGAAGCTGCACAAAATTATGAATTGAATCAGGTTTTTTCTGTTTTATTCTCGAAAACATAATTTCAGTGTTCTTGAAGATTTGCTAGTAATTACCAAATTCAATGCTATGAAAATCCTCGGAATATTTTTTTTTCAAATACTCTTCATTGATGTCCATTTTTTGAAATTTCTCAGTAAAACTGTAGGTTTACAAAGTGAAACTTTTGCGCTTTGAAAATGATACGGGTAGATGGATTGCTATCACTGAAACATATCGTAACTTATTGCAACATGCAAACGGAGTGCTCTACCGAAATGGAGTTGAAATTGAAGTAATTTTTATATTGTACGCAGTGATGTTTATTTTACTTAAGTCATTGTTCTGTTTCTAATTTATTTTGTTGTAAATATAGCTAGGTACTCTGTATTGATATTAATCAAGAATTTTGAAATGTATAATATAGTAATTAGTTGAACTTGAAGAGAAGAAATATAATAGAATTTGTTATATAGCAATACGTTACATAACTGAATTTTCTATAAACATAAAAATGCCCAAAAAATTATGTTCGTTTCTTTTTCTTTCTTTCTTTTCAACCGTTTGCATCTTTTTCCGGTGCAGTCAGAGTTACAAGCATTCGTGGTTTCAAATGCTGACAATGATATTATCGTAGAAATCAGTCCTGGCATTTTGGGCCGTCTCAAGAAATACAAGTAACTCTTTTTATTGAATGTCACAGCTCGTTCATCATCAATTATTTATTCTGTCGTTAATTTAAATTGGCTATTTACTCTTCAAAATGTGAGTTCCTAATTTTCAAACTTTAATGAGATAATCGTTTTTATGAACTTAATTAGTTACAAGACATTTGTATGCTTATCGTTTATAACGGTAGATGATAAGATTTTTGTAGGTTCTCATTACAACCCGATGATTTGATCAAAGTTTGTACCACTCACGTGCAGGATCAAGATGGTGTTTTAAGATTAAGATTTATTGGCTTGATTGTAAACAATGTTCCCAAAAAGGTTTGTGTATCATAACAACTTATTTTTATTTCAAAATTTCAACTCTTGTTTCTGTTCAATTAAAATCTTATTATTTAGAGACCAAGAAAAAGATTCCTTAGCGTTGGATCTGATACTGGAAGCGATTCATCTCGAAAGAAATCGAAGAAAGCGGGTTATATGGCGAAAGGTTTTAAAGAAGATGATTTACAGCGTATTACGCATCTTGAAGCAAAAGTATGGATTAATTGCTTTTGTTGACATTTTTGCGTATGTTTTAAATTATATTTGTAAGGCCTTATGAAGTTACTGCTCTTCATGTACTTCCACTATTCCAGATACCTGAGCCAGGTTTAGATTGGTCACTTGAGGGCTTTTCACCGGCAGAATTCGCTAATGTGGGGCAAATTATCGGAAAAATGGAGAATGCTGAGAACAGTTCATCATTGAAAGAAGAAGACTTTATCAGTGAAGTAGAAGATACATCGAAAAGTATGAAATTCTGTTGAAAAATTATTGATCTGAATTTTATTTGGTATTTTTAATTTTAGGTTAAAATAGCAGAGGGATACTCACTTTAGTAATAAAGTTAAATTAAATCTTGAAAACGCTTTTCCGAACAACTCATAACATTGCTAGATAAATTATGAACTTCCGTTGTGACATGCATCTCATTGTGAAGCACTGTGTATATTGCAGCAAAAGAGCAACTTCAAATCGACAAAGAAAAGAAGTTGATGCTTCGTGAACGGCAGATTATAGAAGCAGATTGGATTCCTGATAGCAGTCATGATTTTGATCGTTTAGTTGCTGGTTCGCCTAATTCGTCGATGTTGTGGATCAGGTAATCTGATGATTGCTTATCTTTTAAAATGTCTAACAAGGACTGTCAACAATGGGTACAGAAATTCGGAAATTTTTTTTCACGACAAACCTATCTTAATAAAAATGTGCTTATTTGCACACTTACAACGAGATTTATAGGTACATTACTTTTTTTTTGGAAAGAAATGAAATAGAGAAAGCAAGGGCGATTGCTGAGCGAGCGCTTGCGGCTATCAATTTTAGGTTCCTATTTTTTAATACTGTTTAAGGAAAGAAGTGTTGCTAAACGATCATGAACTTGATTATTTGAAACTGTATGCCCTTTGTGTGTAGGGATACTAATAATTTTAAGAATATTTTAGAGAAGAAGATGAAATTTTCAACATTTGGACTGCATACCTGAATTTAGAAGCTAATTTTGGTACTGATGATTCTTTGAAGACAGTTTTTGATAGGGCCATCAGAAATACAGATTCTTTAAAAATGTGCAAGCAAATGGTAAAAATCTACCAAAATGTTGGAAAAACTGAGGTAATTAGTTCAGTTCTGTTAATAGTATACTTTATAATTTTAATCTGCAATACTATTCTCGCACAAATGTGAAGAATTTTGAAGAAACCGCTCTATTTT